ATGCTATATGTGTGTGTGGTGATATAGTGGAAGAGGTGGTATTGAGTGATCGACGTTCAAAGGTCAAGGAAATATCAAAAATTACTAAGCTTTCTGATACAAGTGTTCGTCGAATCCTGCATGATCATTTAGGTATGCATAAGGTTAGTGCTAAAAACCTTTCGGCTATTCAAAAACAACGCCGTGTCGAGTGTGCGCGGTCTTTTTTGGAACTCTGTGGGTCGGAACCGAAGCCCGTGATAGAAACTATTGTGATGGGCGATGAAACTGTGGTTCTCTATTATGACCCTCTATCGAAAACAGAATCAATGGAGTGGCGTCGTAAGGGTGAAGCACTTCCAAGAAAATTCAGAGTCTGGCAGTCAACAAAAAAGGTGATGGGCACGATCTTTTGAGATTGTGAAGGAATTCTTTTGATAGATTTTAAAGAAACTAATACCACTGTCAATGGTAAATTATTGCGCAACATTATTACATCAATTGCGAGACTGCATACGTGTAACGTCGAGGAAAACTGACCAGAGGCGTGCGTCTTTTGCACGATAATGCACCTGTCCATACTGCTGGTATTGCACAAGCTGCCATTTTAGAGTGTGGGTTCCAATAGATAGATCATCCTTGAGTTAAAAGAGGCTGTTTTAGCTCATCTTGTAGACAAACCCAAAGAATATTTTTTTAAAGGGGTTGAGCTGTTAATAAGTATATTGAAGTTAAGGGGGATTGTATTGAAAAGTGATAAAAAGTAGATAAAAAAGTACTACTTTGTTTCTTTTATATTCAAGCCGGGAAATGTTGGTGCTGCCCTCGTACGTGTACATTGATGAATGCCGACGAGTACTTATGATAGTTTCTCGTAACATTCTTCTGCTTCTCAAACATTGTTGGCTTCGAGAACAATAAGAGTTTATCGGGCCTTTTTTTCGGGTACGATGTTGACGCAACGCCAGGAAGTTGTCGATGGGGGGCGCCCAGACGTCGCCATTTAATAGTCCGTGAAGCCTTTCGCGCGAGGGCGCGCTTCTTTTCGTACCTAAAGGTGAGAGAGGCAATTAAGACCCGACGTTTTCGACGAGGTGGAGCGGGCGGCGGGGTCGCGCGACCACTTTTTCGGGAAAGATGTGGGACTCGAGAAACGTTTCTTTGTATTGCGAAAAAGCTACGGGAAACGATAGTTTCAATTAAGCGACGCCCACGGATCTCGTGGCGTTCAAATCCGTAACCGGACCCGTTAACTAACGATTAAATTAATATTCACTTTCGCCCGTCTCGCGATTAGTAAATATGGCCGCTTTTTCCGTGGAAAGAAAAATCGGTCGGGCGCCGCGTCGCGTTGACGTGGGCGACGTTTGTGTAAAACGCGCGAAACCGTATCGGTCCGATATACGAGGCGATTAGAATCTTTGTGGCCAATGACTACGGCACCGAATATATACAAAGACAAGAAGGGACACTCCGTTTCATCGTCGTTGCGCTTATACTAACGGGTCGTAAATCCCAATACCAGTATTTTTTTAACCAGGGCGGCACCGGGTATAGTCTGTTCATAGATATAAGAAAATGACCAATTGCTTTTGAATAGGATTATCCAAGTTTCGGAATTTAAATTCAGGTAAAATTGTGGTTCGCAATAGAAAGTAATTTTATACCTACCTCTGTTTAATATTCTTTGGTTTGGTATACTACTTAGTTTAAGTTTATTAGTAATCATTCTTATTTCGCATGTAATACGGCGTGTGTTGAATCGTGTGCGAATAGTGTATCTGAGGAGATGCTCCCACCCAAATGTATTCTATTATATTGAGACTAAGGAAGTTATAAACAATGTTTATTTGGCTCATTGAACGTGGTGCCAACAAGCAAGCATCTATGGAAGAAACGGCCACATTGACGAAAATTGCAAAATCAACTGTATGCAAAATTGTAAATAATCCCATTTCAGCGAGAAAAAAAGAAGCGATGCTGATATTTTCTCGAGTGTAGATGAAAATGATCAAGATATAATACCGCGTAAAATTTACCAGTTATACGAGGAACAAAGCGTGCCTACATTAGATATCTCAATTAGGAGGCTTGAAAAAGATGAAACCGGTGTTAAATGTGGCAGAACTACCCTATGGAAGTGTATTCAACACACGGATTTTAGACTTTAAAAAAATTAACAAAAGGCAAGTTTTAATGGAACCTTTTAGAATTCTGAAATGGCGACTGGAATATCTAGAGAAAATTAGGATTTACAGAGAACAACAAAGGCCAATTATTTACTTGGATGAAACTTGGTTCGACACTTATGGTACCCCGGAAAAGGGTTGGGTTGACTCAACTGACAAGCTTGAACCTACAAAATTAATAAGTCTGTGATAATTATGCAAAACATCTAGGGCATACAGTTTTAAGGCATTACCGCTGTATATTTATTCCCATTGAACATGTTTCGCACCAACTGCATATTGCAAATAATATAGAACAAATAATAATTAGAACAGGCGATGATAGCAATAGTGATACTGATATATTATGTGAATAATTTTAAGTAATTTAAGTTTGTAATAAAAATAATTTGTAATTTTATTTTAGATTTAAACATAAATAAATAAATATTGTTTAGTATCTTTCCTAACAAAACCCCAAATAATTAAATTCTAAGCAAAGTACGGACCTGTTCGGCCATATTTCATTCTTACAGCTTTCCTTAATTCGTATCAGTTAGTCACTTTCTTATATCTATGAACAGACTTTATCATAACTGATTTGGGTAAACGTAACGTTCTGTACTATGAATCACTACTAGTTTTTCTTTCATTTTATTACAAGAGAGTTCAAAATAACAATAAAGTTACAGTTGATTATAAAACGAAACAGAAAAGGTACTCTGTAGTCTAGTCTAGTCGTTATCCTTGTGTCTCTTCCTTCTAATGCTCTTACGCTCCTTCCTCCCTTCTTCTTATCTTTGTAACTTTTTAAACACCGAGTCATTGGAGAGTTTTTAGAGTAATCTTGAGACACTACTGAGATAAACAAAACTCAAGAATTGTCGTTCGTTTCGAGTCCACCAGGAATGCAATATGTGGTGTGCCGCAGTGGTCTATCTCAGGGCCCTTGTCGTTTACGGCACACGTTTAAAACTACCGTATTCTTCTTTTCCTGCTATCAAAGGACGATTTCCATTCGTTCGGCAACTTCATCTGCCTGTCGGAATTTATCACTGAATGTATTACGAAAAAATTCCTTCGAACGACAGAGGCGTGTTTCCAGTGGGTTCGCGCGAGCCCACCGCAAGACCTTGGACGCGCCGCCGGAACATATGGCGAACGGTTTTGCGCAACCTCTAAACGCGAGAACTCCCGAACCTGTTGAGCACATGTGGGTGCGTGTTTTGTTTTTTTTTTTTGCGTAATCGGATCCTGAACTGGGTCGCTGCTCGTTTATTTAAGAATTCGGTCTGTTTATTTTTCCGTAAACACAAAGTCACGTCTGGTCATTGTCGTGCGTGTGAATCGTACTAAAATTAAGCGCAATCGATGACGAGAATGATGAAAACAAAACAAGTAGTATCCATTTATGGGAAGCTTAATAAAAACCCCTTAAATATAAAAAAAAAACATTGTTTTTGTGCAAAAATTTCTACTACTAATCTTAGCTCTTAGTGCGTTAGTTTCGATTCGTGTTCGAGAAAATTGACAAGAAGATGTCTTCCAATTGCTTGTCAACGATACCCAAAGTGCATATTAACATAAAATTGTTGTTCTTCAAAACACATATTTAATAATATATTATGCAACAAGTGCGGTAAACGGCATTTGACTCACGAGTGGGAAATATCTCCGTAGACATCCGATTGCTCCCAAACCCGTGAGATAAAATCCCGTAAATGTCCGAAGTGGCTCGGATCGGTGGAAAACGAAGTTGACGTGGTTAATACTTTGGGCTTTAAAATGAACTTAATCCTGATTAGTGCTACAAAGATGGAGTGAATTTCAGAATTTAGGGTGATTAAAAAGGTGCATAGAAAAAGAAGTTTAAGTTTTCATGGAGGTTTTTTAAAATGTCGTTAAATATTTTTACGTCAAATGTCTCACAAAAACAAGGAGGTAGTGCTGGCAAGAAAAGAATATGATACTATTCTGACTTGATATATAATAGAAAACGATAGATATATGACTTAATACGTATTTGAAATAGAAAAATCTGGAAATTTTGAATAATAAAATAAATAAGGATGAAGCTATGAGGTTCGGAATTCTTTGTTGTTCTATGATCTCCTAAGTTCAAAATACTTAATGTCATGCTGTACCGCTGTAACAAAATTGTCATAGACTCGATAAAAATTGTATTCATTAAATTGGAAACAAGATACCCCCTTGCTATACATTAATTAAGTCCTAGCACATCCGCCAAAAACGTAATTAGCACGGGAATCAATTTCATAGAAAAAAACACCACTCTCTTTTCATTGAATATTTTTAAGAGGTTAGAAAATGAACGCCCGGTATATTTATAAGCGATCCCAAATTAATTGCCACTGCCAAGGATTAAGGAAAAAAAATCATAAAACGAGCGGATCGAGCCGTGGCGACGGCGGTTCTAAAAAAACTCGCGAACTTCTTAAAACGTTCTTAATTAACGCAGGTAATCGAGAGAGAGAGAGAGAGAGAGAGAAAACGAAAACAAAAACTACGCGCCACACTAATTACCTCCCGCGCGCGCGCAGAGAGGATAAATTAGGACCCGGACGCGTTTTAATTGCTCCGACTATGGGATTTTAATCTCTCGTGACTGCGAGCGGTAACTAACCCCGCGGCACGGGTTTTATTTGACAGTTTTAGATCTGTCGTAAACGCATTTACATAATTCCGCCTATTTCGGGAGTAATTTACGGTCCGTCAAGGTCGTTAACGAGAAGAGGAAAAAAAAACGACGCTGCGCATCCCACTTCTGATCGAACGGGGCTGCGACGTTTTTCGGCACGATTTTAACGCCTTTTTTTCTGTTCGTTGTTTCAGTGGGCGGCATGTCGCGGCCGCCTAAGCCAGCGGCCACGGCGAAAAAAGTAGCCCCGCCAGCAGTACCGCACGAGTTCCGCCATTCTGGCAGCTCTTTCGGCAGTGCGGGTTACGGCAGTTCCGAGGACGGAGGCGGGTTTTTGGTGCCCGGCGACCCGCCCGGGGTTCCCAGAGGTAAGAAATTACTCTAGCTCGTTTTTTCTAATATCCCACTTCTGATTTGTTTCACCTCAGACCGACGTGTTTACCCTCTCAACGTGCCAAATCAGAATGGCGTATAATCAATCAAGATTTTTGTCCATCGTTTAAGATTCCTCGCTGCCTGAGCTAGCCAAAGTTTTTTTAGATGTTTTGTTGTCTAATAATACATTTTCTTCCTCCAATTCTCCATTAGTTAATCAATAAGCATAAAGTCTAGTATAGCACAGACTACATTCTTCACCACTATGCGATTATAATTAATATAATATATATACAATCTGTGGACAATTTATCATGATTTCACTTTCTAGATATCAATAGTAAATAGATTTTCAATTAATTAAAATGTGCTAGTGTGGGTTGGTTGAAAAAGTCCTGTGGTCTAATATTCATTCTTCGCTATAAACATTTCACTCATATCTATAATTACAATGGCCTAGATCATTCCCGGCTATGACTGTATTTTGTAAATTATCGTCGGGCAACTTCTTACAATGATTACAGTGTGGTTCATAATTAAATTGGACTACATTGTTCTCTTCTTTTCCTACGACGTATTTCTAGTAGAAAATAATTATTAAACAGCGGCTATGCAGTGTAGCCCATAAATTTTATTGGGTTACGTGCTGCGACGTCTTTCTAGTAGACAATAACTATTAAACACCGCCTGTGAAGTGTAGCCCATAAAATAAATGACCACATTGTTCTATTCTTCTCTTGCAACGACGCCTGTCAAGACAATAATTATTATGTATTATTTTCTTGTTCTTCTACTTCTACTATGAAGTCCAGCCCATAAATCACATTGGACTACATTGTTCTATTCCCTTCCTACGACTTCTTTCTAATGGACAATAATTAGCGAAGTGTAGCCCATAACTACTTCTAGACACCACGCCGGTATTTGAAGTTTTCCTCCACACGTGCCATATTGAAAGACGTCATTTTTCTTATTCTAATCTAACGGTCATCGGCTCGTCGGCTAGCTCGTCTTTTCTAATATCCCGCTTCTGATTTATTTCACTTCTGACCGACGCGTTTACCCCGTCAACCTGCCAAATACTATTTTCATCAGAATGGCGTATAATTAATACATAATACATGAAAGTTTTTTTTAGATGTTTTTATGTCTAATAAAACATTTTATTCCTCCAATTCTCCATTAGTTAATCAACAACCATAAAGTGCAGTATAAATTTTTGAGAGACGCCATTTAATTTGTATATTTGTTTTATACGTACATAATTGCGGACTAGATTCTTTCCCACGATCCGATTACAATTAATATATATAATCTGCGGACAAATTTCTCATGATCATGATTGCACTTTCTAGCTATCAATACTCAATCAATTCATTAAAATGCGCTAGTGTGGTTTGGTTGAACAAGTCCCGTGGTCAAATATTGAATATTCGCTATAAATATTTGACCCTTGTGTCCATAATTACAATGACCTTCCCAGCTGTGATTATATTTTGTAAATTATCTTCGGACATCTCACAATGGTTCAATTTTCTAGGTAGTAATACAGAATTAACACCATACAGTGTAGCCCATAATTGAATTGGACTATATTGTTCTCTTCTCTTCCTACGACGTCATTATCATCGACATGTGCCATATCGAAGGACGTCATTTTTCTCGTTCTAATCTAACGGCCATCATCGCGTTCGAGTAAAACGTACGGTGACATTGAACGTAATTGCAATGTTTTTCGCATGCAAATTACGCGCCGGACTAATGGAAGACATCCTCCGTTCTTCGTCAATACCAGAGATTTTAATAACGTCGGGCATAGGAAAATAAAACGAACGTATCGAGTTGTTGTCGAGGCGAACGAGCGGCCTTCTCGCCGGTAGTACCACTTTGCTTCGTTAAGAGCCGTAAACCCTGAACCCGAGAGACGCCATGCGAAGAGATAAGAGCGACTCGCTGTCGTCGACGATGCCGTTGTCTGGGATTAGGTCCGAACAATAGGAATCGGCCGATTTGAAAACGCATTAATCTTTCTATTGCGTTTGATGGCGAAAAGTCACCCCCACCGACGTATCCGTCGATGGAATTGATGCCAGTCTATTAAGAGATATTTCTATCTTACGCTCTTTCTCGTGTCTATTTTGGGAAGATTTGAATAGAATCCAGCTTTAATCACTTCGAGAAGTCCCGGCAATAAGCGTGTCGTGAACTGGACAACGGTATTACTATGGGTATTTTCCAGAATCTCGGCCGAAAATTCAGTCCGCGACGAACGCGGCGGGGTAAGTGCGGCAAACGTTTATGGTCCTTCGAGCCGGATCGACGAAAGCGCGCGAGATTTATCGGGTTAATAGGCGCATTAACACTCCCGGAACGCAAATCGCCTAGATCGTTAGCCACCCAAGACGGGCGCCGCTGATTGATCGAACGAACGTCGATTTACGGGGCCCCGTTTGTCCCGTTGCGGCGGCGGTTCGCGCGATTCCCACACGACTTTCCGTCCTCGCGGGAATTACGTAAATACCGTATTCGGTCGAAATTCAAGGTCACGAGACAGACGGACCTCGTTGCGACGCTCACGATTATATAACAAGTAATAAGCTATGCAAAAAAAATCGACCTCACAACCACGCATGTGCAATTTTAATGGAATGGAACTAAATATTCTTCTTCTCCGGATATTGGCTATTTTTACTTTGTTGATGTCGATTCGGATTCGTAAAATTGTGGTCTGTAATAGAAAATAATTTTATACCTACCTATGTTTAATATTCTTTGGTTTGGTATACTACTTAGTTTGAGTTTATTTCGTGTGTAATACAGCGTGTGTTGAATCGTGTGCGAATTATGCAAAATATGTGCGAGTCTAGTCTAAGGAAGTTATAAACAATGTTTATTTGACTCTCATTGAACGTGGTGCCAGCAAGCAAGCATCTTTAGAAGAAACGGCCACATTGACGAAAATTCGAACGTCAACTGTATGGAAAATTGTGAATAATCCCACTTCAGCGAGGACAAAAAGTGTAAAACAAACGCGCCATCAAAAAGAGGTAAAAGAATAACTATTTTGCATGCTGGCTCTAAAAATGGTTGGATTCCAAATTGACTTTCTCTGTCTGCGAAAAATATTAAAGGTTGTTCTCTGGGTTACCATGAAGACACCATCGCTGATTTATTTGAAAGTTGGTTTAAAAACAAACTAGTTCCAAACATTCCTCCTAATAGCGTCCTTGTAATGGACAATGCAAGTTATCACAGTAGACAGTTGACTAAAACCCCGACATTTATTTTCACGAAGATTATACCAAAAAGCAATTAATTGAGGTTCTACAAAGCTTGAACCTAGAAAAGGAATACGTTATATGATAATTATGCAAAAAATCTAGGGCATACAGTTTTAAGGCTTTCACCTTACCACTGTATATTTAATCCCATTGAACACCAACTGAAATCTGCCATTCGTCGTAACAATATTTTTCCCCGTGTAAACTCCAATGTCCTCAAACTTATAGAAACCGAAGTTTTTAACATTCCTCGACAAAGTTGGGCAAATTCTGTTAAACATCTAGAAAAAGCAGAACAATCGTATATCCATATTGCAAATAATATAGAACAAATAATAATTAGAACAGGCGATAAGAGCGATAGTGATACTGATTTAAGTAGGTAATAAAAATAATTTGTAATTTTATTTTAGATTTAAACATAAATACATACATAAATTAATATTGTATTAAATAGTATCTTTAATAACAAAACCCCAAATAATTAAATTCTAAGCAAAGTACTGACCTGTTCGGTCATATTTCATTCTTACGGCTTTCCTTAATTCGTATCAGTTAGTCACTTTCTTATATCTCTGAACAGACTTTACGTTCAGTACATTTTTCCCCACGCCAAATGGCCTGTTGCGTAACGAAAAATGGCAGGCAGTCGCGGTAGGGAAAAAAATGTCGCCGCCAGGCCATTCTTCTCCGTCCGCTATACAAGGCACGGACGGGTATAGCGGTCGCGAGAGGGAATTTTTATTAGGCGGACACGGTCGTCGGCAAACGACGTGTTTTCCCGGAATCCCTCGTCGTCTCTCGCTCTCTCGTTATATCTGCGCGCTTCGATTCGTCGCGCAGAACGCATACTAATGGCCGTTACCGATCGTAATCCCGTAATGTTTGTAGACGGCCGCCGCTGCCTTGTTAACGCGAGATCATCGCTAAACGGCCGGCAACGCGACTACGTCACGGCGACGCGGTCACGGACCGCCGAAATCTTCTTATTTCTCGAGTGACCGGCCTCGTGTCGAGCTCCGGCCTCTCTCTTCACTGAGCCGCTATTACGTTCTTCCGCAGTAGCAAGATTTATTTAAAGACGTTAAATTTCTCATACATCTTAACAATCCTTAACTTTTAACTCTTTTGGAGTACTGCGGTCTCAACTATTTAAACATTCCTCTAAACTGACCGTCATTTTTGTGACACTATAATCTATCGGGTCCTTTTCATTGTTGTCTTAACCGAACCCATCGAATTTTAGGTTAAAGTCTGACAAACTGATAAAAAATTAAGGAAATCTAAAACCCATGTGTTGAATACACTTTCATAAGGTAGTTCTGCCACATTTAAGAACGATTTCATCTTTTTCAAGCCTCCTAATTAAGATATCTAATGTAGGCACGCTTTGTTCCTCGTATAACTGGTAAATTTTACGCCGCATTATATCTTGATCATTTTCATGTACACTCGAGAAAATGTCAGCAGCAGCATGGGATTATGTTGATGTTGGAATTTTCGTCGATGTGGCCGTTTTTCCTAAAGATGCTTGGCTGCTGGCACCACGTTCAGTTATAACTTCCTTAGTCTCAATGGAATAGTGTTTTCTATATTTGGGCGGGAGCATCTCCTGAGATACACTAGACTCGCACACAACACAGAAACTTAAACTAAGTAGTATACCAAACCAACATACAGGTAGGTATAAAATTATTTTCTATTGCGAACCACGATTTTACCTGAATTTAAATTCCGAAACTTTAGGTAACAACCCTTGGATAATCCCATTCAAAAGCAATTGATCACTTTCTTATATCTATGAACAGACCATACCAAATACGCGTAACGCATGGTGAGCCTATTTGGAATAAATGTATTAGTAATAACGGGATCATCTTCGGCGGTCGTAAAAACCGGCGATAACTTTTCTTCGGACAGATGCCTGGAACGGCGTAATAAACGCTGACTAATAAAACAATATAAAAATCCCCCTCCGGGCTGGTCTGCTAACGACCCCCCGTGTTTCCGAAGCACGGATGTTTTGTAGGAGTTATTCGGAACGCTCTGTATACCAACTCGTAAGAAATTGAGACTGCCAGCCAAAACGTTTTCCGACTGAACTAAGCCGAAAGAAAAGTTTCCCTTTATAACCTTCAATGAATAGATTCGCAATTCCACAATGACGTTCCAGAACCGTACTTCGGTGCTTCGTACATACAAATACCGAAACCTGACGGATTTGTGTAGAGTTTAATCGATTATTATTATTACAAAGAAGAAATTAAAGAATTTCTGTACGAAAATATTTTGAAGAGGGCTACACGAAAAAACAACTTCTGGAATTATTAAAAATAAAAAATGTTAATAAAGACTACAAAATCGATTCGACAGCAGAACAAAACTGACATGAAGTCTTGATATTACCCCTGTATATTTAACCCGATTGAGATTATTTTGTCTGAGTCGTGACTGTGACCTGAAGTGACTGCTACTGTATTATTATTATTATATCTAATATTTTGTATATTAATAATGATACTATGTAGAAATGTAATGAAGTAGAACGTAATAGATTGTTACTTTGTACTAATTTTTTTATGTACACGTTTCAAGAATTGCTCGGCGAAAAAGATGAAAACGTATTTATGTCCCGCTTGTTAGTGTAGATAGATAAATTCCTAGGACGGTCCTGGAATGGTTACGGGTAAGGGTCTACCGGTAATAAACAGTAGGGAAAGTTAATCACCTGGTCGGTTGTACAAGCACTATATTTCTGGTCGAAGTATAACCGTGAATTCGACAACACCCCGTACGTATAGGAAACGCAAGGTTAATAATAAGCCACCGGGTACGTGCGCGAACAATAGGTCTTTTGTCGGCCGCCCTGGGCGGGCAGCGTCGAACCTCGGGAGCAGAGCGTTCACCTCTCTTTAAGGCCGCTTCACGGCGACGTATCTCTTTCTCTCCCGCTCCCGCTCGTTCGCCAATAAATTCCTATCCATCATCTTATTTACAATCGAAACGTTCGGCATAAATCATGTCCTCCCGACCGAATCGTCGTCATCTGCCACCGCGCGTCGACGACATTCTAGATAAGGAATAACTTCGCATTTGTCGCTACCAGCGAGAGCGGACCCGGTTTATCGTCGGAACGAGAATAACATGAATCGACAAATACGCGGCAGCGGCGCGCCTCTTCATACCGCTGGTATTTTCCAGACGACCATTCCGATTATGGCAGTACCGTCAGCGGCAGTACCGGCAAGTCGCCGGGACCGATCTTCCCGGCGCCCGCCTTTACCTTTCCGGGTCAGCCGCCTCCCGGCGCCGTGCTCACTCACAAAGCGGCCGTTTACTACCACCACCAGCTCAGCCTGCAGGAGGACCAGGGCATCGACATGACCCAGTCGCCCGGACGAGATAGTCCGGGCTCGTCGAGCGGGAGCGCCGGATCCGGCTCCCGGCACAGTACCGCCTCTTTGGACAGCGGTCGCGCCTCGTACCATCCACTGAGTACCGCCGGTCGTAGCACGATCAGCTCTTCCAACAGTCCCCGATGTTCGTTGAGCTCGTGCTCTATCGGTTCCGATCAGGGGCGTATCGAACGCATGATCCACCAGGGACTGCCGGTAAGTCGACGCGTCCACCGACCACGAACTCCGTCGGTAACGCGACCACTTCCCGTTCCAGGACCAAGAGATTATCCACTCGTGGTTGGTCGACCTGCAGTTTGAAGAGTACTTCCCGCTGTTCGTATCAGCCGGTTACGACCTGCCGACCATAGGGCGGATGACGCCCGAGGACTTGACCGCGATCGGCATCAAGAAACCGAACCATCGGAAGAAACTCAAGGCCGAGATCGCGCAGCTCAACTTGCCCGACAATCTCCCGGAGTTCGTGCCGGGCTCGCTCGAGGAGTGGCTCAGTTTGCTACGACTCGACGAGTACATGGCCGCGTTCGTCGACCAGGGTTATCAGACGATCGACGACGTCGCCCAGCTGACCTGGGAGGACCTGGAGGAGTTCGGCATCGTGAAACTCGGCCACCAGAAGAAGATCATGCTCGCTATTAAGCGGATCAAGGACATCAAGGCGGGCAAACGGATCGGCGGCGCCGCGGACTCCGGTCGGATGTACGCGACGCAGGTGAGCGTCGCGACCACCTTTTCGTCATTTTTGCATCGTTCCGCTATACTTTGAGCATGTCTCGTTAGTTTTGGGGGCCGTTTTAGTCACCCGGATTCTAGATCGAGATATTTGATATCCCGCAAACATGTTCAAAGTAGAAGGCACGCACCCCTACCCCCCCGACCCTATTATCTCTCACACTCGCATGCCTCTCCGGCCCCGAAACGGCGCACTGTCGGCTCCATAGAGTAGAGCGCTAGCGCCCCTTTTAAATTTCGTACGCTTACCGCTGCATGTTTGTGTATCCAAGGATGTGTTGGTGCACGTGCCGGTGGAGCTGCCGTCGCCGGGCGTTCCCAGCGTACACAGCACCTTCCGTTCATTTCACCAGCCGTGGGAGATCGACCAGACCAGACAGATGACCGCGTCGATGGGCCCGCACTTCGCGCCACCCCTGTTTTGCACCGACATAGTCCCCATAAAGGTACCGACGAACACACTCGCGTACTTATCTGTTACTTGCACGAACTTTTACACTCGGTCCGCCCCCTCGCACGCCCGGCTCCGCGCTGATCGCGCCTTGCGCTCTACCGTTCTAGATCAGGACCGGGCGCGGTAAATCGCTGGAGTCGCTCGAAGATCCGACGGAGAGGACGCACCACACCTTCTCGCAGGACAACACCCACACGTTCTACTACCAGCAGTCGATCGGGTGGCGACCGCGCTCTTACGACGACGGCGATATCACGCCTACCAACGAATCGGGACTCCTGTACGAGGGCGGGGGCACGTTGCCGCGTCCGCGTGGCGTCATCAGACCTCGACCCATCGCGAAGATCACGGCCAAGGCTCGGGAATCGTTCCCGGACTTTGAGAAACCGCAGTTCAATCCCGAGAAGTACGCGAGTCCGCAATACAAGACGCTGCCCAGAGAGCTGATCGACACCGGCAAGTACCGCGTGCACTACGGCAGTCCCCTGATGGGGAAAAAGATTCCGCCCAATCCGCCGAAACGCTGCGATAGCGACGGCGCCGAGCACACCACTACCGTCGAGATCCACCACGTACAAACGTCGAGTCCGTTGCCGTTGCCCGCGTATCCTAGCTCGGACAGTTTGAGTATATCGCTGGACGGCCAGGGTGATTTGCCGTTGCCGCCGCCTCCCGCTCCCGGCACCCCGCCCGGCGTTTCCGCCCAATGCAAGCTGAATACGTCGCAGTCGTGGGGCGCCGAAGAACAGGAGCTGATCAAGACGTTGGCGCTGCAGCACAGGAACGGGTCTGATGCCAGTTTTAAGGTGAGCGTGCACTATTTCTCTCACTTACCGGCGTCTGTCGGATGTTGGGGGCCGCACTTTACCGTAGTCTCCAAAATTTATTACAATTGACCTCAGCGATTTTAATATAGTTTATTATTTGAGCTCCACAATCTTCACGTAGAATGAATACCACAGTTTATTGCTTTTTACAAAACTCCTGGATTCCTCCTGCGTCGGTTTTTGCTTAGTCGAAATTGCTGACGTTTCGCCAATCATCCTGTTGGCTTCGTCAGAGATTGACTGAAACTGAAGAAGCCAACAGGATGATTGGCGAAACGTCAGCAATTTCGACTAAGCAAAAACCGACGCAGGAGGAATCTAGGAGTTTTGTAAAAAGCATTACAGCAGTTTATTAGTTGAGCACCACAATTTTCACGTTGGATGCCAAAGATTATTAGGCGCAATACTTTTCACAGCTTATGCCAAAGTTTCACCAAAATTTTCACTAAAGCTTATTAGATGTTACACTTTTCAAGGTTTGCAGGTTATGCGCCACAATTTTTTATTTTGGATCCCAAAGTTTAGGCGACACATTTTGCACGGCTGGTGCCAAAGTTTTCATGTTCCGTGTCACAGTTTATCAAGTTGCGTACTAAAAAAAGTTTATTGGACCTTACAATTATCACTTCTTGTGCCAAACTTTGTTGGTTATTCGCTACACTTTTCAAGTTGCACGCCAAACTTTACTGGGCGTCACAGTTTTTACATTCCGTGCCATAATTTATTATGTTTCTTGCTAAAGTTTTTTAGACCTTACAATTTTCACGGCTTGTGCCAACGTATGTTGGTTGTGTGTCACAATTTTCTATTTTGGATCCCAAAATTTAAACGACATACTTTTCTCACAGCTTGTGCCAAAGTTTTTTAGTTGAGCTCCACAATTTTCAAGTTGAATGCCAAGTTGCCATTTTCTTGTTCCGTACCATAGTTTATCAACTTGCGTGCTAAAATTTATTAGCCGTTACACTTTGCCAAAGCTTGCAGGTTATGCCCCACATTTTTTTATTTTGAATCCCAAAGTTTGGGTGACATACTTTTCACGGCTGGTGCCAAACTTTATTAGTTTAAATCCAAAATTTTATTATTTGAGTTCCAAAATTTTCACTTTGATTGCTAGAGTTTATTAGGCATCACACTTTTCATGTTCCGTGCCACAGTTTATCAAGTTGCGTGCTAAAGTTTATTAGACCTTTCAATTTTCACTTCTTTTGCCAAAGTTTGTTGGTTATTCACTGCACTTTTCAAGTTGCATGATAAATTTTATTGGGCGTCACAGTTTTTACATTCCGTGCCATAGTTTATCATATTTCTTGCTAACGTTTATTAGGCCTTTAAAATTTTCACGGCTTGTGCCAACGTGTGTTGGTTGTGTATCACAATTCTCTATTTTGGATCCCAAAATTTAGGCGACATACTTTTTCACGGCTTGTGCCATAGTTTTTTTGTCGAGCTCCAAAATTTTCAAGTCGAATGCCAAAGTTTATAAGGCATCACGATTTTCTTGTTCCGTGCCACAGTTTATCAAGTTGCGTGCTAAAGTTTATTAGACCTTTCAATTTTCACTTCTTTTGCCAAAGTTTGTTGGTTATTCACTGCACTTTTCAAGTTGCATGACAAATTTTATTGGGCGTCACAGTTTTTACATTCCGTGCCATAGTTTATCATATTTCTTGCTAAAGTTTATTAGGCCTTTAAAATTTTCACGGCTTGTGCCAACGTGTGTTGGTTGTGTATCACAATTCTCTATTTTGGATCCCAAAATTTAGGCGACATACTTTTTCACGGCTTGTGCCATAGTTTTTTGTCGAGCTCCAAAATTTTCAAGTCGAATGCCAAAGTTTATAACGCATCACGATTTTCTTGTTCCGTGCCATAGTTTATCAAGTTGCGTACTAAAGTTTATTAGAGGTGACACTTTTCACGGTTATGCCAATATTTGTTAGTTGTGCGCTATACTTTTTATGCCAAAGTTTATTGGGCGTGACACTTTTTCGAAGTTATTAGTTTAGACGTTTAATTATAAAATGTGGCTGCAGTCGAGTTCGAGCACAGAGTCGGATTCGCTGCCGTTCGCCAACGAAAACGCGGGCACCATTAGGACGAGAGCGGGCGGGCGTCAAGCGGGCGAATTCTCGTCGCCAAAACCGAGACCGGCGGGTCTGCCCCCTCATCCGTCCCCCGGGCCGGCGGCCACCCGCAACGCTCGAGCCGAGCCGGCCGACGTGCTGAACGACATAGGGAACATGCTGGCCAACCTTACCGACGAGCTGGACGCCATGCTCGAGGAGGAAAAGAGACAGCAATAAGGGCGTGTACAGTGGGTGTAAAAAAAAATGTAAATTTGTTCCCCTTTTTTTTAATCAGTGGCGGTGGATTAGACGATCTCTTTTTTAAATGGACTTTTGTACGTGTCCCGACATAACCTATAATGTAAATAATTCGTAGAGTATGTACCGAATTTTTTTCTAGCCCCCTCCGTAGGATGTGTACATAGAGACCTTATACCTTATATATATATATATATATATATATATATATATATATATATATATATATATATATATATATATATATATATATATATATATATATATATATATATATATATATATATATATATATATATATATATATATATATATATATATATATATATATATATATATAGTATACGGTTAGATCGAGCGCAGATTTATATAGTCCGAAATCTTAGTGAGTGTTTTTTATTAACTTTTCAAAACAAAAGACTGGTAGATGATTCATACTGACGCGAGATGGCGCGTGCGCGCGCGCGCGGAAACCGTGCCATAACCTATTCCGCGCGGGCCGTCAAACTCCCAACTCTTTCCTTTCACTAAAATTAAACTTTCCGTTCCGCGCGATCATCTTGCCTCGTCGCCTCGAGCCTGAATCTAATCAAAACACGAATGTCGCGCTACTTAATACTTTACGTCCCCCGTTCCTTCTCCCACCCCGCTCCCACGTTGCTATTTACGGCGATTTGGTTATATTAGCCCCGAGTGTAAACAATGTCCTTTTCTCCTTATTTTAATTATTATGTTGGTTAACTGTTAAAGCATTTAGATTAAATAATAAAGCAGGTAATGAAATCGGTAGAAGTTTTATTTGCAAAAGGTACCAGGGGCGCTTTTTGTTTTCAAGTTTACCCAAAAATGATCCGCGTTTAGTGGCAGTAAAAGTGAGGTTAGGCGGTCTAAGACTAAGGTGACAGATTCCCTCTGATAAGGTCATTAATATATAGTATAAATGGTAAGGGGCCCAGCACTGCTAGTAAAACCCATACAGCGCAATTTTGCAGTGAAGTCATAGCATGGATGTCTTAAACTGACATAGTTTTGTTTATCAGTTTTCTAAAAATAGTAAGACATTGGGATCATTTTTGACTGCGTCACTATACCTGTCGAGATTGCGATCTTATTTACACATGTCACGGACGCCAAACTTATAAGTTATGAAAAATTCGAGAGAAAATAACAGCAAATTTTATCTATCTATATTAAATACCTCTCAATTTGGAAGTAGACACGCTGCAATCGTTACAAGGCAAAAATATATGTATTTAGTTGGGTTCTGTCACGAGAATTGATCCCATAGAAACAACAAGCATAATATCGGTAGAAATTTTCTTCGCGTCTATGCAGCTTCAAACAAGTACAATCAAGAGAATAGAATTATTACTCCTAGAAGGCTGGTGGAAAGAGAAAACCCTCACGAGTAGGAAAGGAAATGGGGGTTACGATATGTGCTTGAGCAATGGAGGTTAGGATATGTGCTGGCGCGGAACGGTATATAATAGTAGAAGTTATATACTAGAGGAATTGCCAGATAAAGCAAAAATAACCATAAATTCTATCCGAAAAATCCCTGTATAGCACACGCACACGCGCAATTATGCGTTTCACAAATACTGTTGGGAGCAACTACTAGGATCATTTGCCCATTGCCGACTTCCATCGAGGATTTTCGCTTTTGGTTGTTAATGACCAACACGTACGAAGAAGAAATATAACCAAAATTTGCTCAGCTAGCAAAAAACGATTTTGACAGATACCAAAAAAATCGACTTCTCCCTGCTTCCACCCCGGACCATTCGGCCTCCATATCACCGTGAACAGGGAAAAACAACGGGGCCGACAACAAAAAAACATACACCGAACACTCAAAACACTAAATCCGCACAGTAGAAACCGATATCAAACTTATGGGGACGAATACAAGGGATTCTGTCGAGAGCAAACGGAGGTTAAACCGCCGCGTGCAATGCTCCACCACGGAATCCCACACACCCAATAATAATAGTCTCATTTTCTTTGCTTATTTACGACCCACCCGCCGAGGAAAATTTTTATTTCGGTCACTAACCGACATATATTACAAGCTTCGCAGTGGTTACAACTTTCTCGACTAACACCGAAAAAAACACAGCTCTCCTGTTTTCATGAGTGAAACAATTTGTGTCCTAATTTTATGGTCAAGAGCTGACCATAACACAGGTATGTAATGTGAAGCAAATTTCCGTAGAGATTTTTTTTACATCAGGCTTTGAACCAGCGTCAAAAACGACACAAATATACTCAAACACGCACTAGGCTCAATTCAATTATGCGTTTCACAAAAAATGTTGGGCGCGACCGCTAGGATCATTGGCCCATCGCCGACTTCCGTCGAGGATTTTCGCTTCTGGTCAATTGACCACCACGTACAAAGAAGAAAAATAACCAATAATTTGCTCAGCTAGCAAAAAACGATTCTGACCGATACCAAAAAAATCGGCTTCCCCCGCTTCCACCCCGGACCATCCGGCCACCATACCGGCGTGAACGGGGAAAAACGACGGGGCCGACGACGATTATCACTTTAAGACGTACACTGAACACTCAGAACACTAAATCCACACCGTGGAAACCGATATCAAACTTTTTGGGACGAATACATGGGATTCTGTCGGGAGCGAACAGAGGTTAAACCGCCGCGTGCAATGCTCCACCACAGAATACGCACTAGGCTCATTACTAACTGTTACAACTTAAAGCACAGTCCACTAGTCGCGTTGCAGACGGTTCTCGAGTAGGCCCATACGCGAAAAGAAGAAGAATGCGGGGCGCTGTCAATGTCGATATCGCCGTGACGTTAAATGTCAAACTTGCGTTCGATGTTTTTGTTTGGCCGTCGCAATATTTTCGTAGGATGACGCTTCGAGCAGCGACTATAATTCTCCTCGCGTTTTTCAGTACAGGTAAGCGATGCTCCGCGTCACACCGCGCACTTTTATGCGGCAATTTCAGCGGCGTCCTACAGGATCGAGTTAAAGTGCAACGAGAGCGTCGTGAAGGGGGCGTCCTTGCGATGCGTAGCGTCCGTTTACGACGGCAATTCGATATCCGACGCTACCTTTAGGTATACGTGGAGGGACAACGCTCTACCCGACCACCGCGCCGAATTTGAATTTAATGGTACCTGCCCCTGGATCGTACACTATCCGCCCAGCACTAATCCTGGGTTGTACGTAGTTCGCGTAACAGTGTGTCGTTCTATTATCGGTTTATTTTGTAAATATGTGGATTCCGTCGGCACTTTCTTCAACATTACTGAAACCCTAAACGGCAAAGTCACCCTCACCCAAGGTAACGTCACGCGGGACATGTACGTGTCTAGTAACGGCACCACCTTGCATAACGTTACGTTAAATGAGGCCGACGCTCAATTCGTGGCCGAAGCGCCCAAAGTATTATCTTATTGGTTCGTCGATTGCGTCTATTATGGCATAGGCTACAATTTAGATTTTGCCTTCAATTACACAAAGCCCGATGTGGGGCACACGATAGAGGCACTAGTCGAGGCGGATTTTACACCCCCGCCGGTAACCACGACTCCCGCCACCACTACCACGTCCACTATAAAACCCAACGTCACCTCCACCCCCACCAAAGCACCCAATGGGACTGTGATAAACCCGAAGGTAAAACGAAGCCTCGAGGAATTGGTGCCCAAAAACGACACGACGGGCGTGATAATGGTCGGCGTCAATGGTACTTTGGTGCCCTACAACGGGACCTTCCCTTACATATGCGGTAGCGCTATGATAGCTACCGATTCGAACAAAACTTACGGGTACTTCAAGAGAGGCTTAACCGTCAAGGCACCCATTTCGGGCCTGACGGTCAGCGGCAACAACTGGCTGCAACGGGGCGAACTGCTGAGCCTCAACGTCAAATGCAGCGGCTCGCAAAAGATGCTCTATTGTCTACGCTACATCCACGGCCTTTACAACGTGACGGGCAACGAGACCTGCGGTAATGACTATATGGACCTGGACGAGTGCAATTTTCCCATTAAACGGTACCTGCCCAACACCATGAAGCACACGGTACTCATCATCCTCAAGAATGATGTCAGCAAAGTGGTGACCCCGGTCACAGTCACGGTGTATCAAGGTAAAAAGGCACTCTCAATTTGTTGTCGCTTTAACGGTCATCTTTTTCTTGCAGTAAAACCACAGGGCCAGCTGTCGATTATAGTGGTACCGGTCGCCTTCAGTTTGGTGGCGGTGGTGCTGATTGTGTTCGGAGTAGCCTACTACTTCCAAAACAGGTCCAGGTTCGTCGTCGAAGTGGCCGATTTCAATTTCGGCCAGCAGTACGCGGACATGGACTACAAAACGTTCAAAGATCGTCTGAAAGAATCGTTGGTGAACGCACTTACGCGAGACCCGATGCCGTCGACGGCGGACGCACCGGGTTGGTCGCCCACTCACAAATACGGCAGTATGACATAATAATAGGGGGAGTAAAATGCTAGAGATACGTCAAACGACTGCGACTATGGATGTGATAAACAAATTTAGAAGGTTCCATTATAAGTAGTTAGCTCTAGCTTAGTGTTTCACTGAATTAGTGTCGGAGACGGTGGCGTCACCGTTGGGAACGTGTACAAAGCAAGACGAGAGTTTTTATTTTACCAAGTATTGAGTTTGTTTCGAATCCTGGCCCTTATACTTTTATTTATTATATTACTTAGTTGAATTTGTTTGATTGTAAGTTTTGATTATTATCTTTACCAATAAACACTGTATTGTTACGCGACTTTCACTTTCCGGCAATATTACTATTTACAACACAAAAACTTGTAATACAAAGTCAAATGTAAACGGCTTTCTCACTTACCTCGGCGTTTTCAACAGATAGGGCACTTAAATTCACCAATAAATATAAAACAACACATCACTTGAATATGACATTGTCTGTCGTTTTGCAGTGCTGCCAACATTTTTTTTCTGCGCCGGTAATGTTATCTATTAACGGATAAAAAATAAACGCGTGTAAATCAGCAAAAAACGATTGCGATGATAACTTACCCCAACTTTAACTGCCCCTTATCATACAAAATACATATATGCATCGGCAGCGCCATTTGTGGTCTGCGGCTTAACGAATACACACAAATAGAGAATGATGAGAAGTTACTTATTGTATTTATCATTGATTGCAAATTTTGATTATTATTTTTACGAATACTCACAGAAGCATCGTCAGCGCTTGAGTATTTCTTAAACTCAACGCACAGACTTGTAACAGAAAATGTGCCGACAGTGTTATCTATTAACGGATAAAAAATTAATGCGTGAATGTACAAAAAGAGGCATTTCTAAAATGGGACGAAAAAACGTAAAAGAATATTGCGATAATACCGTTTTAATCACTAACTCCTACGTTTAGGATCCGTTCATCAAACGAAACAAAAAAAATTGCAAAACATGTCACCGCAACGCAATTGACCAATTAATGGAAACACCACTGACTATAAAGGAAACGAAACGGCTTACTTGGAATATTCATACCATTTGTGGTCTGCGATTTAACGAATTTCCGCTCAAATTCAAAAATAATCTATATTACAATAACTAAAAACTGCAACTGCAAGCCTAAAAAATTAAACTCACTTTTCGTAAATAAAGTTTGTTTTCCACACAAATATATAGTGATCAGAGCCGCCCGTGATGAAATAGTGGCCGTCGCGGCTAAATTTGCAGTTTAAAACGGGGTTGTCGTTGGCGCTCAACGTGTACAGAGGTCTGCCCTCCATGATGTCTATGATCCTAATTTTGCCGTCGCGGCCGCAGGACAGCAAATAGTTGACCTTGGGATGCCAGTCCACGCAAGTGGTGTTGTCGTGGACGACGTAGTGCTGCTGAAGAGCCTTGTTACGCATATCATAGACCCTAACCGATCCCGATTCCATCGCCACAGCTACCGTATTGTTATTGGCGTGAGTCGCCACATAGTTTGGGGCCGTTCTGTGAGTGAACGCGTGAACCAACTGCCTACTGACAGAGTCCCAGACTCGTACGGTTTTGTCGTCTGAACAAGACGCTATCAAATCGCCTTCGGGCGAAAATCTTGCGCACTTTACTCGATTAGTGTGGCCCACATAGCTTGCGATAAACTGTTGACTCTTCACGTCCCATAGCTTTACCGATTTATCGCCCGCACCTGTTATTAATTTCGTGCCGTCCGGGGAAAAGTTTAACGTGTACACCGGCGAAGTGTGCGGTTTAAATTGGACAAAGCCTCCCACGAGTTTCGGCACCCACAACCTAACGGTTCTATCTTTGCAACTGGAAGCGAGGATACTGCAATCCGGGGAGTATTCTATGTCGGTGACCACATCCGTGTGCCCCTCGAACCGGTAGGTGGGCTTTTTTATGGAATTTGTCCAACTCGACCACACTACTATGGCACCGTCCTCCGAACACGACGCGAATTGCTGTTTGTGCAGGTTAAAAGCTAAACCGGTAACTGGTTTCTTGTGTCCCTTTAGCACGAGATGCAACGCAGGAACTTCACCACTCAAACTTGGGTCAGTCATCGCCTACGAGATCGCCCGTCTCTCGTTCGTTAAATTGAAATATGTTTGTATAAACCAGAGATTGTGAATTTGTAAGTCAAAATTAATTCTTCTTCTTTTAAGTTGTAAGCCGCGTGTACAATATGGCCAGCATTCTAAAAGCGGTGGGTTGTTATAAAATGGAACGCGTGACGCCAGTTTTTAATTGGTAAAGGGATAAACAGCTCGCCCGCGTCTAAACCTCTTCTTAAACTTCGACCAGGCCAGTTCGGCAGAGAGCAAAGCAAATGAAGCACCCACGCCGATAAATAGTAAAAAGTAAGGCAAAAAGAGGTCGTTGACCCCGACCGAGATGACCCTCGCGCTGGACAGACACTCGGGCTTGCTTCCCACCCACGTCTTATACACTTTCCGCAGCAGGCCGCTCTGCCAAGTTTTCCTCAAGCTGAAACGCAAAATCGATGACGTAACAAACTAACGTATTCTGCGTCGTCCACCTTATTTGAAACAGTTTCCTGTACTGCGAATCCTTCTGGAGCATCAGCGACGTGTCGCTATCGATCAGGGTTATTTCTGTAAGGTCGCATATCGATGCCTGGTCGAAGGTCTTCGCTATCAGGGGGTACGCGCTCACTGACTCGATGTGGTAAGCGAAATCGCTGTCGCGAATGCAGCGCACCCCTTCATCCACGGACGGAAAGTTCGGTTTGCCGTCGGCGTAGATTTTCGTTCTGTTGAGCAGGTCCAGGTAACGATCGTACTTGCCTAAAACGACGCTAGATGGCGTCTCCGAACGATCTCTACCGTCTGTGATCTCACTTCTGTCCAACATGAACGTTACCGTGTACGGCTGGAGTTCCATGCCGACTCTGAGCTTGCTTTCGTACAGCTCCCGGATTGTTTTGAGCGTTTCCGGCTCTGTGCTAATCAGAGACGAGACTAAACTCGACGTGTAGTAATTGTAGAGCAGCAGCGAGAGAATGAGCAGACTGAGCAGTATGATTCGACCGGCCATGCGTTTTGGCGTGACGTATACACCTGCAACCGGTATTTCTGTAGAGTATTCTAAGGTGGTATCTTTAAACGACTTTGGTTTAATATTGAAATGAAGAAAAAGTTTTTGGTTTAGTTCATATGATAAAAGATTCGCCTTTGAATAACTATTCTCTGGTGACGCGCTGACGTCACCTTGTTGGGCGTAGATCCCGATCAGGATCAGAACGGAATGAAGAAAGGAATGTTCATGGACCCCTGCAACCGGTATTTCTGTAAAGCATTCTAAGCTGGTATCTTTAAATGACTTTGGTTTAATATTGAATTGAAGAAAATGGAAGACACTCATTAGTTTTGTGTTTTTGTTTATATAATGAAAGATCCGCCTTCCAATGTATATTTTCTCGTGACGCGCTGACGTCACCTTGTTGGGCGTAGATCCCGATCAGGATCAGAACGGAATGAAGGAACGAATGTTCGTAGTCCGTGCGGTGCTGTTCCATCAGCCAAACGACCTCCATGCAAGCGCAGCAAACCAACCCGGTGACAAGGACGGCGTACCACACTCTCGCAGCCAACGGTTTAAGCACCTCGTAGAAGTTCGGCCTCACCACTCCCGGGTTCCGGAAGTAAAACCCCGACCGGAACCTGTAGTAGGGCATGAAATAATCATAAAAGTCGATACGGTCGGTGCCGAGCATCCGGATCATGCCGCCTGCGATGCCGATGTCCACCGTGTCCTCGTAGAGCAGTTTGGCAACGCCGCCGTCCTCGCCGCTCGATCGGTTCCCGTACCATGCCGGTGCCAGCGTCACGTTGTAGCTGCGAACACGTGTTCTGTAGTCCGTGGGTTAAGCGAAGATCCTCACCTGAATCGGTGGACGTCGCGGAGGAACAAAAACGCGTGGTAGTGGAACTTGCTGTATTTGTCGTAAGATTTGAGTCTCAAGTCTGACATGTACTCGTCGAACGACGTCTTGTACGGGTATTTGGCCTGAAATAACGCGTAAAACGCAAGACGCAAGTCAATTCAACTGTTGCCTTTTGCTGGGTTCAACAGTAGCGAAATTCTCACCACGCTACCCGCCCTGATTAGCACGTCTTCCATGTGCCTCCTCGATTCGTAGAAGGTGAGGTCGTCGGTCATCACCAGGTGGCCGCCGGCGACGTGGCCCACGCGCAGCCACCTGAGGGCGCCGCGCAGGCCCGGTCGGTACACGCGGACGATCTTGGAGGGAAAAACGACCTTGACGTCCATGTCCATTCGCGTCCGGATTCCGTGGAACATGCGGCGGACGTCTTTCTCGGGGACGACGCCGTCCGACAGCAGAATCCACTCGTAGACGAAGCGAAATTTGCCCGATTTGGACGCCTAATTCGAAAAGATCGATACGAATCGAGTTTTCGGTCGAATGTAACATAAAATCGCTGTAGTTTTCAAAGAATTAATATATACAGAATAAGATTTCTAGTTATAAAAACGTATCGATAAATTAAAAATTTCATTCGATATAGGTCGACAAAAACCCATGCGACTATTTTCTTATTATTCTTACTTGACCGACAATGCAGGGGTGGCCAATTTATATTTATTGTTGCTGATGTATTTCTTGAGTCTTGACCATTTCTGGTAGTGTTGACTAATGGTTTCTATCGATCTTTTGGAAGAAATCGACCATAACCTCAATTACCTCTACTAGTAGTTCGTTTGCGCCTGCGCACGCCAGATCCAGGATGTATGTCACCTTGTCGTACCCGTGGGTGTCGATGGTACCGATGACGCCTTCCCGCGGGGTGAGGAACGCCGTCCTGATGCCCGCCCCCGCTGCCCCTCTAGACGCTGCCACCCTGCCTGCCGTTAGAAAAATTAAAAAAAAGGAAAAATTAACGTCTCGAGCGTCCCACCCGGTTTTTCCCAGCACGCGAAAAAGATGGCGAGCGGCGACGACGACAACTTCCAGGAGGGGACTGCGAGAGTCCCGCAAAATAGCAAGACTAAAACGGGGAGGAAATTAGCAGCCGCCATCTTGGGGTGGCGGCGGACGGTCGACTCCGCAACTCCTTCGTCGGAGATGCTTTAAAATTTTCTTTTTGAATCGTTAAACGCCAGTAGACGTTTTACTTGTCCGTCTCGGAGCGGCGATAAAGGAAAATCGGCCCTTAACATCGACAGGAAAATTCGTTTGAAATATTTACCGGTTAAGTACGGTTTGGACAGAGTAGAAACGGGCGTTTAAAAAACGTAGTCGACAGAAAAAAAAAGCAAAAGTTATTTGGGAAAGTTAAGGAGTTTGGCATAAAAAACGAACGCAACAAAGAATAGTGATGGCAGAGGGATTGCAAGTCGTGAAGTTGAATGGAGAAAATTAAACACTTTGGAAATTTCAAACATTGGTGTCTTTAAAATCCAAGGGACTGTTTGAAGTTGTTAACAAGGCTGTCTGGCGACGAAACGGATAAGAAAATTACAGAATGAAAGATGCAAAGGCTCAAGACATAATTGTGTGTAGACTGGAAGAAAAGCCCCTTACCCATGTGTTGGCATGTACTACAGCAGCGGAAATGTGGCAAAAATTGGTGACAATATATGAAAATAGGTCTCAGATAAGTGCAGCAGAAGTTTTTTTGGCTTTGAGTATGGCGAAGGTGGCATAGCTGGGTTGATATCGAAAATTGAAGAAATTCAAGGAAATCCGAAACTGCAAGGAGAAGAAATAAGCGATAAAATGGCAATCACAAAGTTTTTTTTTTTTGAAAGTATTCATTTAAAACTAGCTTTAACCCATCTAATTCACTGTCAACTGTGCACAATATTAAAAGATCATCAACATTTAACAATACAAATGATTTGTTTTTATTCAATTTGAAGTATAAACAATAATCATTCTGTGATCGGTCAAAACCTTGAATTCGCATGAAAGAGTCAAATTTTTTGTTCCAACATTTTGGAGATTTTTTTAGACCATACAGTGACTTATTTAGCCTACAACAGTAAATGCCAGAAATTTGACTTAATCGATTTGAATTTTTTTTTTGGAGGCGTAAAACTCAATCCTCTGACCAAATTTTAACCGCGATCGGATTTCGAAAAGAATTTTTAAAAAAATTGAAACATTTTTTCCGCCTTTTCGGTTTCAGAAAAAAACAATGGTTTCTCGATCTAAGCGTCACTTTACCACGTCAGTTTCGTTTCCCACGAATTCGAGTCACTTGGACATTTCCGACATGTCGGTGTTGTTTTGTCACTTTTTGGTCACTCATTTATTAGTCACTCGTTTATTAAACACTCGCTCCGCTCGTGTCAAATAACATCGTGAGTCGAATGCCTTTTACCGCACTAAATTTCGCACCATTCAAACAAAATATTTACTAATTGCTAATAAACCTATTAGACAGAGAGAGATGTATTATTGGATCAATTGGATATTGGATAAAGGATAAAGCTTTTAAGAGGATTAAATTTTTAAGATCAATTTCGTTTTGTTTGTACTGATGAGACATGGATATTTGAAATTGATACAATTGGTCTTGGCAAGATATTGATATAAAAACCGTAAAAACCAGTTCGTTTTTACGGTTACGTTTCTGTGAGGAACTTAAATTATAAATGTCACTTTACTTACCGACTAGTCCACTAGATTTTAATAGCACGTGGTACTTAAATCGACTGATAAATTGCATTACATTTTTCTGTGTATTAGTTTTTTCACAAACATCCGATTGCTCTCGGAAATGTCCGAAGTCGCTCGGATCCGTGGGAAACAAAAATGACGTGGTAACGTGACGCTTCCCGCACGCTAGATCGGTGTATAATTGGGTATTTTACAGAGGGAGTAGAAAAATGTTTATACTTAGATGATGTTAACGTTTACTCGAATGAAACATTATACAGGGTACAATCACAAAGGAATTTGAAACACGCGAAGTGGTTTCTTTGTGGCCTGGCGGTGTTATTTTGCGAAACTGGTCTCATTTCGCCACCAAAAAGTCGCATTAATGAAAATCATGAAATAAACATTCGCTCTCCAAAATTCCCACAGACGAACGTCACCAAGTGACGCGTTCGCAGTTCGACGTCTGTCAAATTAACCGTTTTTGACGGGTCCAGTTCGAAATCCTCGGTACGACTTCAACGTTTTCAGCCAACATGGCCGACCGTCCGGGCAAATCGACCGCAGCGGCGTCCGTGCCGCCGGAGTCTTCGCGTGCCAAGAGCCCCAAACGGAGCAGCCTGAAGACGAAAATTTCGAAACGTATCCAAAACCTGGCCCGGCCGAAACACGTGGTACCGAAGAAAGTGAACCCGGACACCACGGACGACCTGTCGAAGGCGATCACGCACGTGACGCCCAGCGCGATGGCCTACAAGCCGACGAAACGGATCATCGAACTTGCCCAGCCCAAGTGAACCCTTTGACGTAAATAAAGTTGAAGTTTGCTCGGGTCTGGTTATTTCGACTGAAAACGACAACCATTTTTTTAAATTGGAACCTTGAAATCATTTTTTTACATTTTTTAGTAGCTTTTTTTTTATTCTAGAAAGTGCGCCAAATTATGTTGGTAGTCACTTTCAGTATTCACAGGTAAGTCCCAACAAAATTCGATAAATTATACCGCAACTACGCTCTAATAGAGGAAAGGCACCTAATATGGGATTAGCGCCTATTATGAAACAGCATATTTTCTCCCCAACTAACAGCCTGCTGCTGCAGCTGCCTAAATTAATTCATCGGAAGGTGAAATATGAAATTAGCTGGAACTGGTTTTAGTTGCTGTCAAAGCAGGGCACATGTATTTGGTTTTATACACTGCAATATAATAGTTTCTTAGTATTCTCTTTGAGGTGATGTTTTTTGCTTATTTGCTTCGTTGTGTGGAAGTTGCTTTATTGTTTGAAATAAATAAAACGCCTTAAAACTTGTGTGATGTTTGGAAAAAAAAATATGAAAATAATTTCTTCATAAGGTTCCTCCTAATGTGAGATATTTCATATTAGGAGCGCTATTTTTCTTTTTACAATTTTAAGTAAATATTTTTCTGTAGATGCCTTAACAGAATAAACAAATTAGAAATTAGAAATAGCAATTAGAAATGGTTAATAGCGTCCTTTTAGTAGTGGAAAGAAGTCTGCGGGTAAAAAATGCGGAGAGGTTGAGATAAGGGAAAAAGAAGCTTTTTTCGATTAAATTTAAGTGTTGTTACATCCTTATTTTTGTTACGTTTAGTATAAGGCAATTATTTTATTTCAGTTGCTCTCCTTATTTTCCTAGGTTTCTCATTATGAGACAGTCTTTTATCTGAAGTCTAAACTATCTCGTATTAGGAGACCAATTTGGAAAATAACAAAAAGTGACTTTTTTGGTTTTTATTAATTTACAAAAGTAAGCAACGTTTGGTCTATACATGTACATGAAACTATTTTTAAACACAAAATTCTCAATTATTTATTCAACAAAAATGAAAAGGTGCCTTATATTAGGTGCCTCTCCTTTACTGAAGGAGTTAATGGACTTGAACGTCAAAATATTCTTTTAATGACCCCTTCTCTATTAGATCATACATCGTAAATTCTAATATCTCCTACAAGTTCTGCAGTAACTGGAAGTTGACCAGTGTTATAACAGTAGCTAAGAACAATGATCCTAGAGAACTTTCTAACTTGGAGAAAGTTATGACCCAACATCGTGCGTGCGTGTCGTGCATTTGACACTCTTGATCATAATATTTTGTGCACCAAACTTACAACACATAATTCCGTAGTATAAAAAATTTCGGACATGGTAGGAGTGTTTCTGGTTTCTTGAGCGTGCTTAGAGGGGTTCCCCATCATTTGCGGATGACTTTCAACTCCATCTCAGTTTTAATACCACGAGTTTCGACATCATGATTGTAAGTGACACCTCCCTTGCACACAAATTTCACCTTGACAACTCTCAAACTTACCTTGTTTTCAAACTCTTGACTCTCAGCCACTTCGGACAATTCCGGGATTTTACCGCACGGGTTTGGGAGCAATCGGATGTTTTCGGAGATATTTGCCACGCTTCGAATTTTGACGTTTGTCAATTCTGACGGCCATGTCAGTGTTGTTTTGCGAAAATGTACCCAAAAAGTAACGGTCGTAGAAAAAGTATAGTATGCAACAGGTTCGGTAAACTTTTTAAGTAACTCAAATCAAAAGTAAATCAAAAGGCCAGATGTTGATGACAATAAATCTCCCTTGACCTTAAGTGGTATCAAATTCCCTCTTCCCGAAATCAATTGCTGTTCTTTTCATAGTCATGGTAATCAATCATCAATTTTAGAGTTAATCCAATCCCCTTAAGCGCTGCTAAAAGTTTTTCTCTATTGTTGGAGTTAAATGCCCTGTATAAAACTACACTAGTATTTCCAAATAATGTTCTTTGTTCTTTCAATCTTTTTCTGAATGAGTATGGATAAAACTTTGTAAGCTGTATTTAGGAGTGTTATTCCCCTGTATTTGTAGTCGATGGACTTAATGTAGGGTGCAAAATATAAACATACATTTATTTATCCGGCAATCTATTTTTCAAGCCTTACCGTGGAAATTTATAACAGAAGAAAAAAACACGTTTAAACGTTTCCGAACGCGATGTTGTATGCGCCGGCCTTGCAGGTAAAGGTACTCTTATTATCGTCGTAAGCGTAGCTGTAGGCGTCGGGACATTCGCGTTTGAAGAACGCCGGGTAGTTCTGCGGCCAGTCGGAACTCCTGCACGTTTCGGGAGTGTTGTGGGCACCCGAACAACAATATTGGTCGCCACCGAACGCGACGCAGGCCGATTTGCAGCCGATAACCTGACCGGAGTAGTGGACTTGAAGCTCCCCGGGGCACTTGGAGTTGATGTCTGAGCCGCACTGCGCTTTCCTGCAGCTATATTGGCTGCCGTCGCCTTGCCCACCGATGGGCTCAATCTGGAAGGAAATTGTATATCATTCCCAAGTCTCAGATCCATTCTAAAAGTTTCAAGAAAATTGCAAATTTGTATATATTTGGTTGCTTCAGAAGTACAAAATGAGCTAAATACATACAGAGACACAGGCAAACAATAAAAACACTTGGGCTTCTTTCCTGAAGTATATCAGGCGATCTGTTCGTTCTAGTTTCTTGAATAGCAACAGGTGATGGACTGTATCAAACGCTCATGTAGAAGCGACCCAGGTGCCACCTTGCCAATGCCATTTTCGAATTCGTTTGAAACGTTTTTAGCCTCTAACAAGTTTTCCAAAAGCAAGCTTCCAAATTTTTTGCCATAGGACACTGGTCTTCATGTCACGGGAGCAGCTACCTGTATTCTTCAAAATGAGAGCCGATTTCGTTTTATCGTTCTTTGTGTTTTGGACTGATTTTAGTGTGTTTTTAGTATTACCATTCTGCAATGCTCTTATATTTCGGTAATTTGATTATGCAAGGGTCAGGTCTTCAAAAAACCGAGTATAATGTGAATGAAATGTGGACGACGGTATATTGTGAATCGACATTGATAAAAAAAAATTATGTGTTACAAGCTGTTCCAAGTGTGAGGATGAAACGTGTAACAGCAAAATTTGCCCGAAACTGCTTAATTTTGGACAAAAGGACAACAAAAGGTCATAACTGATGACGCATCATGGGTATATAGTTATGATGTCGAAAACAAAGCCTAGCCGTCCCAAAAAGCAAGTCAAGTTCGATCAAATGTAGCCCTAGAATACTATGAAGCTCCCTTCTCTATCTCAGGTTCTATTTATGGAACTTGCATTTTTATAGCAACAGGATTTTGTGGGCTACATGTTATAATTGATACTATATTCTTATTAATTACAAGTATTCGTCCATACACTAGACATTTCTCCTCAATCTCAATTTTTATTCAATTAGATTTTTTTTTATCAAGAGATAGCAGTTTGAAGATGGATGAAACGGTTTGTGGGGGATCTGCTGTGAGTTATACTGGATGATCTAGAGGACTGGAGAACCAAATTACCGTTGGTTGACTATTGACTATTTTAGTGTATGGCAATATGGAAGCTGAGAAAAAAAGATCCATTAATAACAAAAAAAAGTAAAAATCCCCCAAAAAGCGTCGACGACAACGGAAATTTTGACAAGATGGCTGAGTAAATTAAAAAACAAAATAGAAAAGTTGTTCTTTCATTGGATAGTACCACGTCACATTCTAAAGTTCCGTGAGGAAATGTTTTACTGAACTTCAGATGTGAAACACCCTATATATCAATCATGTATGCCCTATTTCCAAACCTACCTGTGACCTTATCGCGATAGAGCAAACTAACCAACGACAAAGAAACGACATACCGATGCCCTGGAGTTGTACCCATCGACCAACGAGACGTCGTAATAGTCCAATCCGGCGTAAACTTTAAGAGCGATTTCTATGAGGGTCGCTGGCGGTTGGCCGCCCGCACCAGCGCATTCCAGTCGATTGCCACAGTCGCCGGTAAAACAGTGATTGTTCTGGTCGGGGAAGCACCAAGTCCTCGACCAGAATCGCCCCGCCCAGTTGTCCGGTGCGCCGACAGTTTGCTGCAACAAAAAATATTGAGAAGTTTAGGGAGCGATGTCATAAAAGTTTCCACAGGCTACTGTAATACTTTTTACTAAACTTCTGGATTCCTCCTACATCGATTTTTGCTGAGTCGAACTTGCTAACGTTTCGCCAATCATCTTGCTGGCTTCTTCAGAGCTTGACTGAAACTGGCTCGCATTTTGCTCTGTACCTGCTTATATATTGTTTGATGGGGGCGGAGTTAAATGAGACAGAGTAAAATGCGAGCCAATTTCAGTAAGCTCTGAGGAAGCCATCAGGATCGCGTTAGCAAGTTCGATTCAACAATAACCGATGCAGGAGGAAACGAGAAGTTTTGCAAATAGTATTACAGTAGCCTGTGCAAGTTTTCTGATTTGAAACGCAAATGATCTTTTAAAAAAATCTGTTTTGTGTCTAGTAACCTATATATTACGCGCCAAACAAACGCTGTCAAATGTCAATCCATGGTTTCTAGCGTATGAAACGTTATCACCGCTATCAACATTTATGAAAAAGTCTTCTTTTTGACTTGTCTTTGTTCCAATATATACAAAACACATTTAAAAAGCCGAATTCCATACATACCAATTGCAATAATGTGTTGGGCTTAACGAAACTTTACAAACATTACAAAAGGACGCGACTTACCGTCTCCCCTTGGTTAAGTACGAATCCGCCATTTCTCAAATGTGGATGGCCAGCATTTCCCTGGATTCCCACCCAGATGGGGCCCCCGTCCCTATTAGTGATGTGAAAATCCACCGCTTTTGCGGAAACCGCTAGCCCAACTAGGGCGAAAATATGAGTGATTTTCATGGTTTTATTTACCTGCGGAAATACACATCACGATAAATAAATTCATAATTTTTGCGAACGATGTTGCCAAGTCTCATTTTTTTTCTGAAATATGGGTATAACGATATTAATCTTTCAATATTCAAATTTGATGATCACTTTTAATCTTGAATGATGCGAATATTGATAACTTGCATTTTATTATTTGATAATAACCAATGGAATTTGTATACAGGGAAAACTGTAAGCACAAAAATTTAAAAATTTGCAAATAAAGTAAAGTTGGTAGTAGTAATTTTTAATTATATTTTTAATTCAAATTTTTCAAAGCCATTTTAATTGCTGCTTTTTCAACATTCTCTATTATTAACAATTGATATTTCTAGCTAAAAATTACAAAAAGATACATAATTTTTTAATTGACTGGAATACCCAAATTATAGTCCAAAAAACAATAAAAAAAAGAAAATAAAACAGACTACACTAGATGGTGAGATCTAATTCACACCGGATCAGTTTAGTAATTTAAAAAAATACATTAAAAAAATGTTGTAATCCAATTTTACAAATTTTTTGGTGCAAAACTAATTCTGAAATTTTTTCTTTGGAATGCATTTTGATTCGTTACAAGTCATAATAAAAGAATCGCTGTCTTTGGTATTTTCTCCATCAAATGTAAAAATAATACATTAATTAGGCATTTAAATAATAAGATGTATATATAATAACAATTAGAAATAAAATAAAAAAAAATAAAATGATGTCGCATATTTTTAAAGACCCTTTTCATTGACTTCTTAATAATCCATAAATAAAAGTCTGACCGCGGTGGTCAATATGCAAGGAAAGAGATTATTTAGTAAGTATTTAGACTTGGGTCTTACAGAAACGACAGAGCTATCCTCATTTTCCAAAGTAGATTTTTTTAATAAGAACTACAATAAATTCAAAATGCTCACTTTTTTACAATTTCTCATAATGCAGCTCAAAGAAAAATAAGAAAAGAAATTTAGTGAAAACGAGTTATAGACTGTTAAAAGGTGATGCTTTGCCTTGTATAAGATAAATAACAAAGGACCTTACCGCTTTTCTACAAAATTATCGTCGTTGTATAGAAGCACAACTGAAGGATCGTTTCCAACGATCGTCTTTATATACAGAACTAGATAAAGTATGGAATTTCATAGAAATTGGTAAACATTCGTTTAAAAAAAAACTGCAGCCACTCACATTAGTATAAACATCAAAACCAGATAGATAACTCCGGTGGGATATCGTTATCCAGTACAATTTTATTATTTATAAATTCTGGGTTTTGTTACGTGTCCGTTTTTAAATGTCTAATCGCTTTTGAAATCCCGGACTTGTAATCGGAATAACCTTAGAAATTATCCTTTGCAATTATTTTCGCGATACGGCAGTTGTTCTTTTATTGTCATGCAAACGCGAGACCCAATTACAATGTAATGACATAATAACACGCAAATTAAATTCAGCAAGCAAGACTTCTCGAATGTGATTATCACTTATACACATGCCTTCAAAGGAATGTATGGTCTGTTCATAGATATAAGAAAGTGACCAATTGCTTTTGAATGAATGAATGAATAAATTACCTGTGTTTAATATTCTTTGGTTTGGTATACTAGAATGTAGATGAAAGTGATCAAGATATGGAATTGCTGGGATTCACCCGTTATACGTCCTGTAGCTTTAACACAGACAACATTTTACTAAAGCATATTTGGTTTATACCTATCGATACAAAAATCAGGCACAATCACTATACCATATTTGGCCCTTTTCTATTTAACATTCAACATTGTTCTACACGTTTTTGAAATAGTTTATAATATTAATAAATGATTTCGAAAAAATTCAGTTATAAGTTGGTGCTCAAAAGTTTTTAAATATTTTCAAGGTCGTAGTACTTTAGTCACTAATATCAACTTCATTTTAAATAGAACACTCAGTATATTATATCCTCATTTCTCATTTCACATTAAACTTCAGATTTGAATGTTTAACATTTCCCGACCTCATCAATCGAATATACTGTATGCCATAGACATTGCAACACTCAAAATTTGCTTAGCAATATTTGTAATGTTTTATCGGTTGATTGCCTGCTTGAAATGCGATAACAGTTCTATCCCAATCTGTTTACAAACAAGCAGACTTTTCTTTAAATTACCAAAAAAACAAGGGGGTTTTATCATCTATTTTTTTAAAAGTGTTTTTAATCACGGCCAACGGCCAACAGAGGTTAGGTTCGTCAAGGAAATTAGTTAAATCATATCGCACCGCAATTGGTTAATGCTGCTCATAGCCACCTTCAAATTGGTTTTTCTATATTTTTTTTAATTTTTTTTTTCATAGACTATTAAATTACTATCCTTCAATTATCCTTCTGTACCCTATTTTTTTTCACAAATTTAAACATTTTCCAACCCAAAACTTAAAATTTACCGTCAAATTAAAAAAAAAAATGCAATATTAACTTTGTATTTCTTCTTCTTCTTCTTCTTCTTCCTGTTTTAGAAGGCGTATCGCCTGTTTAGTTCCGGTTTCCTCCTCGTCTTAAAGTAGTTTTTTTTTTAAATATTTATAGGTATATTAAAAGTTATTTTTATTAATATTAAGAAAATAATTTAGAAAAAATAAGTAAGTATTATTATATATACTATGTAAAATAAATAATAATCATTATTGAGTAATTTTTGCGAGTACATATCTATTTCGTATATACCAAATAGAACTCTACTATATCAACTAATAAGAATTGGAAGATAAATAACTAATAAGGTTATCATACCCTCAATTGTTTTTATGTTCCCTATTTTTTTTTTTTTTGAAGAAACTTTCTATTAATCTGATCATAAAAAATAATAAATACATATAATTTAATTAATATGCGGGTTCCACCACATAACTGTTACAAATCTTCTTGATATATTGTTTGAGGGGGCGGTAAATCTGGTCTTGGCGTTATATTTCTTGAGAACATTTGATATGTGGTGGACGCTTAATATCTCTAATCTGGAAATTATGGTTCTAGGTTCCCTTACTTTCTGTAGTCCCCCACCCCCCTTTTTATAAGCAAAACCCGACTCATTCTGATTTGCTGTTACTGTTGCACTGGGTCGACTACTAATTGAACGGCGTTTTTAGTAAAAATACTACAGATACAATTATTGATTTCGAATGAAAATGAATGTTTAGGTCCTCTGCTACAGTTGTGAATTTTGATATACATTTTGATATAAAATCTCGCTGTCTCGTTAAGTTTCATCCATTTTCCAAAACTCATTAAGTATGATTTCTCTGTCTTCTAGTGTAATTCATTGGCTACACCGACATTTTTCTCCACATGGATGATTTTTCTTTGCCTTGGAAATAGATGTATCTTCTTGGCCAGTGTTTTTAAGTGTTTCGTTGCTCACTCAGTATAACGTTGTTTAGCAGAATATTACAACTATGTCCTTTGTTTTTATGCATTGAACCCATACATATACAATATATTATGTGGTCACTTTAGAGAGTTGATACCCGCCTAGATGGTATTACAAAATCTCAATCATCTGAAGTCCACGAAGTCGAACTTGATGACGAAGAAGATGAAGATCTGACCAAAACTAATCGCCATTTAGTGACCGAGGTCGTTGTTATGTACAAGTTACATTTTCTAGGAACAAGAGCGATTCTTCTGTCGGATTTTTGCGATTCAGTTCATTCATAGATTTTTGTTTGGGAACTTTAGTTACTCAGGACCAAATTTCAGCTTTCAGGGCTGCCAAGATCCGTGAACTACGGGTATTCCGCAAGTGTACTATTAATAGCAAAGAATTTTCATCGGTACTTACAAACTGTACATAATTTCAACTAAAATTAAAAATATACACCATTAATTAACTAAAAGTTTTAGGCTAGATATGTATTTGAAACAAATACCAACCAAACTATAGGCACACTATTTGAATTTTATTTTTATTTAACTGATTCAATTTTTAATAGAAAACCACGATTATGACAAAAAAATACTTTGCAATAACATTATTCAACAAATAGACCTAAATATGAAAATAAATACTGATTATATTGGAAGCAACGTTTTATTAGAAGTCTGCCGTGACACGTACTCACATTAATGAACTGAGAGAAATAATTTCGTATGACAACGCGATACACAGATACTTAATATGTTGAAAAAAAAAAGAGAAAATTACACATTTACAAATCTTCTCCATTCCTGCTGCATCGGCTGTTTATAAATCAAACTCGTCGACGTTTCGCCTACCATCATGTTAGCTTCTTCAGAGCTTTTAAATTATAACAAACCATGGAGTATTAAAAAATTATAATTTGCTAGCTGAGCAAATTATTGGTTATTTTTCTTCTTTGTACGTGGTGGTCACTTACCAGAAGCGAAAATCCTCGACGGAAGTCGGCAATGGGCGAATGATCCTAGCGGTCGAGCCCAACATTTTTTGTGAAACGCATAATTGAATTGAATTGAATCAAGGTTTTTGTTGTGACTATTAAAAGTAAAACCGCCTTATGATGGCGAAATTAATCAATCATGACATATTCCCAGCTTTAATTACAAATTATTATTTTGCTAACACCAGTAGTACAAAGCAAAGATTAGACGCCGCCAAAGACGACGTTATATTGCGAAGCCTTGCAGGTAAAGGTACTCTTGTGGTCGTCGAATGCGTAGCTATAAGCGTCGGGACATTCGGCTTTGAACTGGGCCGGGTAATCTTTCGGCCAATCCTTGCTTTTACAAGTTGCTTCCGAGTTATGGCTGCCCGTGCAGCAGTACTCCGGGGTATTGAAAGCCGCGCAAGCCGATTTGCAGCCTATCACCGTGTTGCCGTCTTTCACCTGGAGCTCCGGGGGGCATTTGGAGTTGATATCCGAACCGCACTTCGATTTTTTGCAGCTGTACTGACCATTATCGCCTTGGCCGCCCACCGGCTCTATCTGGAACGGCAAACCGATCAAAATATAACAGTAATCAGTTACGATAATGAGTTCTGGAGAAGAACTTCAAATTCCATTTGTGGAGAAATAATTTTGTATTACAGGTAACTAAAATCGTTTCATAAGCTTGGAATGGATTCAGTAAAAACGTTAATGTGACCAAACTCACTTCAATAATATCAGTGAAAGAAATAGAAACAAAATAAAGTTGCCATCTTCGGGAACGTTTTAAAACACCGATACCCTGTATATTATTTTAGCAATATACAGGGTGTTCGGAAACTTGGAGGAAATGTTCAGCGTGGTAAAATAATGTAAAATTTCATTTTTTAAATTTTATTTTTAACGCTGTTCGTTAAAAATTAGTTTCTACTAAAAGAACTGCTGCAACTGCTACTGCGATGGCCCATCGGAAGTATTCAAATACTGAAAATCGCGATATGCATTTCGGCAACGGAAGAGCAAATGGAAATACAGATCAAGCATGTCATAATGGTAATGGGACACTTTCTAAAAATACCACCACTAAAATTTTTGAAAAGTTTTGGGTAAACGTTATATCCTTATTTATATAAGAATCCATCATATTTGAAGACGAAAACTCAGATAAGTTTATAAAACAGAGGCCTTTAGGTTTGCTGTGTATTGTATGACGATAATCTGAAACTTTGCTGAGACTATTTCAAAAAATATCTCTTTTAGTAATTGAATTTGGTGAATATTGACATCGATCTGAAAGATGACCCACTAAAAATCTTACTTTAGCAGAGAACAGCTCTGTTTTAATTGATTATGGACTCTGTTTTCTTATCTGGTATTGGTGAGTTCTTTTTTGCAAAATGTAGTAGTTTTGGATAAATATTGCGTCATACAAAAGTCAGTCTACCCCTTTTTTCCATTTGGTTGCCGCCAGGGTTTCAAATTACCGGACATTTTTTACTTACCGAACCTTCGACGTTGAATCCGTCGACCAAAGAGACGTCATAAAAGTCCAATCCCCCGCTACCCTTGAGCGTAATTTCTATGAGCGTCGCTGGCGGTTGGCCGCCTGCGCCTGCGCATTCTAACTTGTTCCCGCAGTCCCCTGTCAAGCAGTGGTTGCTCTGGGGATTACAGTACGTCCTTGCCCAGAATCTTCCTGCCCAATCGTCAGGTGCCCCAACCGTTTCCTATGTATGAGTATTAAAATAGCATTTATTGACCTTCTACATACATAGCAGTACATGGAAAGTCATACAAGTTTCAAAAGAAAACATGCATGACTAATTGGTACAAACTTCCTCTAACATTTTTTAAGTTCTTTGACATTGTGAAATGAATATTTAATATATCGAGTTCAAGGATCAGAATGACCCAGACCAAGAAAATGGTATTTACAATCTTTTACTTATTTTTAAAAGACTGTAAATACCATTTTTTTGGTCTGCTCCCCTCATGTCATAAGTATGATAAGAGGAAAGCGACGGGTTATCTTTTAAATGTACATGGTTTCAATTAGTGTTTCAAGTATAGACAAGGCAACGTGAGAATTCATGTTATCGATTTCACGAATTGAAACATTGACAATAAGTCTTACTGTTCCTTTTTGCAGGATTAATACTTTGTAAGAGTAAGACGAGTTTCCCCATAGCAAAATAACATACTTAAGTTATCATTATCAGTGCAACACTATCTAAGTAGCCTTATCACAAATATTTAGTAGATGATCTGGAACAGAGATATTCAACATGAGGAAGCTAATTCAGATTAGAATCCAACATGACACTAAGAAGCTTTGGAGGCTCTAACTTCACCAGCTAAAGTTTATTGACGAAGAAAATACATCTTACGGAAAGACTCAAAAAGCAAGAAACAAGATTCATAAATAAGGCCTATCACAAAATTAACACCAAGTGATGCCTATTAGCATAAATTAATTTCAAATTACCAAAGGCAATCTTTAGTTTATTGGTAACATGGACTCTCAACTGCCACTGTGAATCAAAAGTGAGACCCAACCTTTTATATGATTCAACGAACATTTAAAACATAAAACTTAAAACCTAACGATTAAATAGGTGGAAACTTCATTTCAACGCTGCATTAAATTTCAGACTGCACTGGGACTCAATCGTCTTAAAGTGTATAGACAATTGCTGATGTCTGGGGTGTAAAGCTAGTTCGCCTCCCCGTTGGTGCACCCTGGGTAACGCTAAATGAACTAGCATATACTGGCAGTTAGATTACCCTAGGGATCTCCTGACTACATGACATATTGAATTAAATCGAATTCACTTTGACCAGAAAGATTAGACCCTCGGTCTGACTCCATCAGATTAACATAGAAGATATTAGGTATGATAAAAGTCAGTATATATCTAGACTGCTGAAGAATTACGACATCGGCGTGGTTGCAATCCAGGAAACTCACTGTGAAACAGAGAAAGAGCTCCAAAAAAGGGGAAAAATACCAGGATAGGAATTTCTGGGAGCAACGTACCACCGAGCATACGGCGCAGCTACTTATATTTGAAACAGCATAGAAAATGCATCTGTTTTTCTCTACGTCGACCGACCATTACTGGAACATTACTGTCTCCAACATTTAAAAGCCTTACGCTAAGACCTGGCCAGCTTATGCAGTCACCACGAACAATGGAAATACAGATAAAACGACATCAATGGGGAGACCCTGATTAGATGGACTGAATACGAGCATTTACACCTATTTTTTGATGTAAAGGATAAGGGCTCGTTTAAATCAGCCGCATGGAACAGGGAATATAATCCTGATTTATGTTTTATATCAACAGACCCCAATAACACCCCTTTGGCAGTCACAGGCAAAGTACTTACGGAATTGCTCCACAGCCAACACCACCCAATTAATATAGAGACTGGAACCCAAATCAGTTACTTAGAAATTAGAAAACTTGGAGGCGGAAATCCCCATCCAGGGCAAAAAGCTCCCATTACACCAAACTCAGTAGCATCTCACATTGTGATGACATCCAGAGAACCCAGAGATAAAGTTGACACAAAAAGTATAAAAGGATACTTAAGAACCCTTAAAGACGAATCTAAAGAAACCGAGCACTCTCGCCCTTTCAAGACCGAAGATGTATCTACTGCCCTCAACAATCTGGAAAGCCCCAGAATTTGATGGAATTCATCCTGAATTCCTCCTTAACTGCGGAAAATATGCGAACACAAACATCATGCAGTCCTCGACAATTCAAACCAGGAAAACCAGCCGACCATCAACAATGTACAAGTTGCTGGAAAGACTTATCTACAACAGAATAAGTATTAGTAGTACTTAAAGATAATCCAAGTGAACAAGCGGGTTTCAGACCTAAATGTAGCTGCAGCGAATAAGTATTATCACGGACCACATATTTCGAAACCGGCTTTCAAAGAGAACTAAAGAGTCCTGTTACGTTTATTGAGCTGTCAGCGGCATATGACACCGTCTGGAGGAACGGAATGATATATAAATGCTTATGAAAAATTTGCTGTAGACTAATGGAAAACATGCTTAACGACAGAGTATTTCTGGTGATATTGGGATCAGAAACCAGCAACCTCAGAAAGTTTGATCAGTGCTTGCTCCACTGTTATTTAGCAGATATGCCCAAAACAACATCATCACTGGGGCTTAGCCACCTGACAGTGATGGGAGGCTCCAACCTAATGTTCCAAAAACAGTAGTAACCTGTTTCCATTTAATCCAAAAAATGGTCGACAGAAAAAATAATGTCCACTTTACTTAATCACAACAAAAACCGAAAATATTTGGGTGTCACTCTTGACAGGACATTGAGCTTTTATATACGTCACTCTATCCGTTTGCGTAAAAAAAAAAGATTTTTCGTAACATAATAATACATTGGGGACATTGCAGGATGCCAAATTGGAAAAGGAATGCTCTTACAAGTTTTTGTTTCTTGTATTTTTCGGAGAGTGCTTTATAAAGTTTTTTCATGTGCAAACTAAACAAGAATATATACAGTTTGTCCCGAAAACACTAGTTTGGCATATGGAGGATAGTCTGCTTACCGTTTGGCCTTGGTTAAGTGCAAATCCTCCATTTTTCAGGGTAGGTTTGCCGGAATTCCCCTGGATTCCGATCCATATTGGTCCGCCCGCTTTATTCGTTATGTGAAAATCCACCGCGTCGGTCCAACTGAATACGCCGAGCGTGATGATTACTAAAGCGTTTCTCATTTTTGCACTAAAAAATGGACAAAATGTATACCGTGCGCTGGAAGGCGGTCGTTGAAACATATTTTTTTGAAAACTCTGAACACCTTGGGACCTTTCACCCAACTAACCAAATGTACATGGTGAGCTAAGGAAGATGTTTTTATTTTAAACAAATGTATATTATAGGGGTGGGTGGGGCAAGACCTCAAAAATTAACCAATTTTTTTTTTCGTTTTTCCTTTTAATAATTATAAATCCTTTCAGCCCTTTGCGTAATTCCAGAAGTAAAATGGATCGCTTAAAAAATTGAAAAAAAACAATTTTTTGGCTAATTCTATTGGTTTATCCTAAAACCAGAGCTTTCAAATATCCTATAAATAATAATAACAATTTTTTTAGTCTATAGAAAAATAGTCACTAATCAATAACGTTTTTTTTATTAAGTACTTTTTAATAAATAATTATAATAATTATATATAACATTATAAATGCGGGAGGGTGGGGCACGACGGCCAGAATTTAGTTAAAATTAGTAGCAAAAACAATCGATCGAGTTGAATCATCTGACAACCTAAGGTTTCAGTTTTTCTTTTCTCGGCAATGTTTAATTTTAAATTCGCAATATTTACCTGATGGAAATAGGGTACTACTGATACTTTTCTTCGGAGGAAGTCCTTTATATGTAGTGCTGGAAAACGGCAACTGATAGCGTAATTGCAAAAAACTGTGTTCCATAAATATAGATACATTTCGTGCTTAAGTAAACGAAGATAGTGCCCAGGCAGATAGCTAATGGAAAAACCTTGGAAAGTGACAGGCGCAATATTGCATTTCCTATCAAAAGCGTTACGCACTGCCGTAATTCAAACATTTTAAAAAGAAATAGATATTTACTGGAAATGTATGAATTCGGAAAAAAAAACAAGCTTTACCACCATAAGTACAAGAAGCATGGAATATAGAATTTAAATAATATTAAATGATGGGAAGACATAATTTACTTTTGGTTCTTTTCTTATTGTATGAATTGTAAAAAGAGTATTGCAATCTTTATTGTTATTATTGCTGCTAAAATTGGTGGGTTCAATGGAGGCAAGAGTTACCATTGATATTCTACAAATTGATTTATGAATCCTTGGCTTTATTTGACCACAGGAACGGGTTTGGGAGGCCCGTTACTTCCATGCCTCGTGAACTCTGCCGTGCATGTCATTCCTTCTTCCCATATAATACTTTTATTCACTACACAATTCAGCTTCGCGTATATCTAGGTCAGCGATCTTCAGTTTGTCCCTCTCCCACTTTCACGGGTTCGGTTTTTCTAAGGTTAACATTCACTCCCCATCTTTTATATCCTTCCTAAAGATTCCTAAGCATATAATTGCCATCCTCACAGATAATCGGGTATGTGAAAAACAAAGTTGATAGACATTGGTGGTCGATCTCTAATCCCGTAGCTCCATTCCTTGTTCTCACTCATACAGCCAATACCCACCATCTAATTTTTTGTTTAGTAGTTATTTGAATTGCCGATAAAATATCCGTCAACATATAAAGTAAAAATATAATTCCTTTTCTGCAGTGCTTAACAACGCAAATTTTAATACCGCCATACTTATTAGCTTATTGGCCACTTAACTATGCATCTGGGAAATACCGCAATAAATATTGTGCGCTGCGTTAAAATATACCAGTCAAAACAACACGAAATACAACAATTCTAATTTGAATAACATTTTCTTATTGATAAATTTAAAGAGTCAATTTAAGAAGTCGAGAGTCAGTTTGAGCATTTCTGATGCTTTAGTCATGGGCAGCCATTTATTGTTTCATCAGCAATAGAGATGCAGGAACTACAGATAGGAAGCAAACAAAGAAACGAGGAATGCTAAGAAAACGAAGGGCGGAGGAAAGTGTTTTGTCACACATATCATCGTGTCAAAATTTTACGCTTCATTTGTTTATATTCATATTACTTTCATTAATTGTAAAATCTGCATGGTAGCAAAAACACAAGAAAAGTCAACAAATATGTCGGCTGATGCAAAAAATGTTCGAAAAGTACATGATAACCGAAAATGGATTATCGATTCCCTGGTGATAAAAAACTCCAACAAATCTGGATTCAATGTTTTAGTATGCAGGATCCAAATGATAACATAGAACATGTTAGTTACACTCTAATAGGAACTTCAGTAAAGCAAATTTCGGCAAAGACTCCAAAGATATAAAGAAAATGATTGTTTGGACTCCAAAGATCATATTGAACGTAATTTCAAATGATAAAGTATCTTGATAAAAAAGTGCTATGTGTATCTTCGTGGGTTTTAGTTCTGTCCTTTACCAACTAGATTATCCCTGTTTGTTATTTTGAAGTGGTCTTGTTCCGCCATTTTGCAAATAAAATATTTCCATATAAGAGGTACAGTAGTGCCGCTTCTAAGCCACTTTGGCGGGAAATTTTGAACTTTCGCGAATGTTCGGGTACGTGTAGGTGGTGCATGGAAGGGGAGGAGACCCCGTATCATCTGCTCACCGAGTGCCCTGCCTTGACATGGGCAAGATTGGGAGTCTTCGGAACGGCCCTGATCGATCCGGACTCAGTGCACGGTATTGGGCTAAAGGAGTTGCTGACCAATGTTCGAGTACGTTCGCGTTGGCGCGGATAAGTGTTTTAGCTAAACAAGGTTTTTTAAACAATTTTTTTCTATCTAATTTATTACAGGAGCGCTTATCGCCAATGAAAAATGGATAAAAGACCCGAAATTGAAAATAAGCTCATCATACAATATCTTCAAGATGTTCCATTTAAAACAATGATTTCAACGACAGTTTTCGATATCATCGGAAGGAATGTGATTATTTTTAAATAGATAGATTTATTCAATAACCGTAATCTTGGAAGTTTTTCCTAACCCCAAAACCTTTTAACGGACAGTTACCGTGAGAAACTTAAAAATATTCATTATTTTTTATCAAGCCTTCAATACCGTAATGGAGCGATCCATAAAGTTGTTCTAAGGAACAAGTAATTGGCTTTTAGGGTTTTTTTATTTATCTTGTTGTCCTAGGAAACGTTCAAAGCTACTGGCCGATATCACACTATCACACAATTGCTCTAATTACGTGAAGCGCGTCGACTCGTTTTTTTTTCGTGTATTTTGCAACAATTTAAAAATATTATTAAACTGTTTAACCATTAATCGAGTTGTCGCTTTTGAAACCTCCACTATTGGGATATCTGAAAAGTTGAGAGTATTCGAAAAAACAGTAAGGTCGTTCATCGCGAAGATTACAACTTTTACAGCGTTCAAGATTGCTATGTGACTTCGCGTTTTTAGGCTGGTAAGAAACTTTAAACGGAATTGCCTAAAAAGGGCATGTTTTAGACAGAAAAAGAGCCAAAGAAATAATTTGTGTTTACCAAACCTGATTAACTTATTGTTACTAGCTATTAGCTATCGCTTGAATACTAGTACACATTAATAAGTCTGTGGCACGCGCTCTTTAAAATCTTATGTCAGTAGATTCAAGCACTCTTCCCATAATACACGGTTCAAGAACATGGCAAGGGACCATTTACTTTTTCAGTTATGTAGGCATTGATCGACGGGGCTTGATTTTTCAGGTCCCTTCTAGTGCCTCAAATATCAGGAATAGTGCTAAAACTAACAAACAAACTATAATTTTTTTATTTTTATTTTCTTGCCAGAGATTCACTATCTGAGACAACCATGCCACCCTTCCGATAGTGTCAACTAATACTGCCATCTGGCATTGCACGTAAAACTAACCCCCTGCGCACGGGGCGCACGCTAGATGGCGCTATTAAACATTTAATAGTACAAAACCAAGAATCGTAAATCTAATAGGATTGCCGAATCCCATAAGACATATTATCCAAAATTATCGATCGCACGTGCTCGCTGTGACGTAAGTGCAGACCTCTAACGGTCTGTCAATGCATTTGAAGGCGTATTAAACCTTTGTATTTTGTGTTCTTTGAACAATTAAAATAATTTAGCCTAGTGAGTAGTGCGCTTATGTTTGTGTTAATTGTATTTCTGCAAACAAAAGTTGGACAAAAGAGTGTTTTTAAGCTTTAACAAATACTTTAAAATTGTATGTGCTTGAGTGGCGAGAACTGAGAAAAACAGTATTTTTAGCGTTAAACACAGACTTAAAAGTTTTGTGTTCATGCTGCTTATTAGCGGTGTTATTAGTTAGGAGGCAGTGGGATAAGTTACATCAAAATATAGTTAGGTATGCCTGGAACGAGATGTGCCATGTATGGGTGTATTTTGATGTAAAAGCAAGTTCTCGAAAATGTAGTGAACTCTTCGGTACGAGTGGATCGTTCGATGTAGAAAAGAGCACAAACTTAATCCAGATAAAAGCTATGTCTGTTCAGTTCATTTAACTGAAAATGATGCGAAAGAGACTTACAAAATGAGTTATTAGTTTTTTTTTTGTCGTGAGTAACACATTAAATTTACCAAAAAATTGAAATTTTAGGTTTAGCTTTAAAAAAGATTCTAAAAAAAAACTGCTGTTCCCACCGTATTATTATTTAACCAGAAGCCACCAACAGAAGCAGGATTATCTAGATCAAAAGGACTTCATTCCAAAAATGCCAAAAAGAAGCTCAGCAGGTATTGTATCAGCTTTTAGCAACAACATCCAATGTCACGAGTGAAATTCTGGAGAAAATCCATCTGCAGAACCCATGCCAGAACCCATCTCCGAACCCCAAATAAAAAAAAATTAGAAAATATGGCGAAATTGTAAAATAAAAATTTAAGTATATGTAGTAATATGTATTTTTTATATTATGTACATACGAGGCTACATATAAATACATATTATTTACATACCACCTATAATTAGTTGTTATGTATGCCTAATATGTTTTTGTTTTTAATATGTTCTTTAATGTGTATAAAATAGGGATTTCTAATTTTTGTTGATTTTTGTATATTTAAAATGGTAGAATGCCGTAAAACACAAAGTTTTACAAGTAAATCGTTTTGTTCCCTAGTTTTATGTATTTATGTGTAACAATATTTAATTAATATATGTATTTCAAAATACTACATACAAGCCAAATTTAATTGCCATAGTATTATTTTTACCCTATCCTACGCTACTTCCCAATAATTATTAAATAAGTACTAAAACGATTTGATGTTGACATTAAATGAAAATAACGAGTGATTGTCCAAACAAAATGCTATATTCAAGTCCATCAAAACTCGGGTCAGTTTCAGATTATTTCCATGCATTTACATAGTAAACGCGACTTCACCTACGTCACAGCCAGCGAGACTTTTCGCATTGCACTTGCGGATTAGGCAATCCTATTAGGTTTACGATTTTTGGTACAAAACATCTTCCAAGTTTACCAGATATTGGTGGATAATTGTTTACCATCAAATGTTAAGAAGAAGAATATTCATTTCTGAAAAGGGAAACAACCTTTCCTGGAATTATATTCATGTTGTGCGCTGTGTCCCAAATTGGTTGTCAGCATAGGGTTTATTTGTCTCTACTCTCCAGAAATTTCTGGAAAGTACTTGATTGGCAGGTTGATTGCGATCTCTGGGCTTCAGATAACTGTAATTTTGTACTACAATCATTAAAACGGCAGTTATGTAAGTACATTTTTAATATAAATAAATAACATGACTGAAATAAATATCTACATCGACAATATAGTACAAGATTCGATTTCGGTTACTTCTCTACAAAATTCGTACAAATACTTTTACAAGATCCGTGATCCGTAACAAACAATCGATATATACAAATTTACAGAAAATAGAAATAATTCCATTACGTAACTATTAGAAAATACAAAATAGTATTACTAGAGCGCCGATATTGCAGATTACATTGCTAGTTGAAATCAGTCGATATTCTAGTATTGCCTTGGGGAAACGATACTAGTCAATACTTGCTATATACAGGAACATGTACAATTTCTACTAAACTTCTGATCCGAGACCAGCAGAAAACCACAATCAGACCAGAAGGGTATGACTAATAATCAAAAAACTAACATATCACAACGTTCGTGTTTGAAAAAAGGATTTTTTCTTTTCCGTTCACAACAACTCTACAACTACACTACTTACTGTACTGCTAGTGAACTATTACGTATATTATTTGATTGTTTTGACCTTGACTCCAAAAAACGAGCTGAAAAATGGCTAACTTTACACAGGAGAGATTTATGGGAATTAGTTTTATTTAAAAGCAGTTTGCAGTTCTTGATAAAAATAAATAAATAAAAAAAATTAGTTTAACACATTTTTCTCACTTGTCACAGTTGAGTGAAATGGCAGCATCTATGGGCAAATGAGAGATGTTTGTTTACTTAGGTGTGTAAGAATCCATGTATATATATATATATATATATATATATATATATATATATATATATATATATATATATATATATATATATATATATATATATATATATATATATATATATATATATATATATATATATATATATATATATATATATATATATATATATATATATATATATATATATATATATATATATATATATATATATATATATATATATATATATATATATATATATTATATATGAGTAAAATTGGTGCCTTTAAAAAGGTTTTTTGGCAACAATTTCAGTTTTTTGAATGACATATTCGTTTTTTCAAAGAAACTTCCACAGGCGACTGTAATACTATTTACGAAACGTATAAACGAAAGTTTTGTAAATAGTAACATTAATTATGTTTGGGTTCTACCAGCAGAGACGCACTGCCTATTTTTGGTTTTCTCTTGTCATCGTTCATCTTGGTTAGTTTTTGTTTCGCATAGTTTTTTAGCCTCACTCTGATCCACATTTCCTACTAGTTTAAGAATGATAATTTCTCGAAAATGCGTGTACATTTTACTAAACTTTTTTTAAAACTAATTGTAAACTCCAATTTTTTACCCGAGGCTTGCCTCGCCACCTACTTTCTTCAAATTTTTGTATAAACTGTCCACAAACAACCAAAACAGTGAATTCTAACCTCTTAATTCGATGAGTGCAACTGGTTAAATGACATTTTGAGATGTCAAAAAAATTGAAGTTTGTTCTCAGTGTACAGTCAGAACGCTTTCTCAGTAAAAGAGTTCTCTAGTAGATTGGTGAGTCTTGTACTCATAAAACTTTGTGGTTGTTAGGTTAGGGTTGTGCGGAATGAACAGAATATCTGCTGCCACTTCTGGCGAATATGCATTTTAAGCGATCTTTACAGCAAAAAAGTAATCGCGCATTTTATTAAAGTCCTTTAGAATTTTCCACCTCTTAATCATAGATAGTCTGCTGTTTCATATAACCATAATTTTGCTATTTTGTATAATATCCTGGTTAAGTTCGGATGACATTTGGCCACCACAGTTAAAATTTCCTCATACTATTTAAAGTGGTCTATTCGAAGGTGCAGTGACAATTTGTGTAAACAGAACATAACAGAATTGGACAAGCCTGTAGACACCACAAAATGGAAAATCATGTTCTGGATAGAATATAGAATGAATTGAAAAACTCAACATTGTAAGTACGTTTTGATGGTTTTACGGCTAGTATGTTGCCGCTTTCAAGAACTCAGGCAATTTTTTCATCAAGTTTCAGATACAGATAGACAAAAACTGATCTGCGTAGTTTTTTTTTCATTAAGATGCCGAAACTCGCCAATTTTCATAGACAAGGCAAACTTGTGTCTGTTTTTCAATTGAACATCCTTTTTTAAAATAATTTCTTTAGGCTTATTTTGAGCTTTACAAAAATATGTAAACATAAGTAAACATTTTTGTAAAGTCATGCCATTTATATGAAAAAGTCTCTATATACTCTATTCATAAAAAAGAAAAACTTCGTATTTAAAATAGGTATTATGTGTTGCACATTATTGAAATGCTAATAACAAGCCCACTCAAATAATTAAAAAAAAAACATATACAAAAGTGGGATATACTGCTCCGGTACGGAAGGGGAGATACAAAAGTGATCAACATTAACATGTATCTTTGTTAGTTTCAAATGTTCATTGTTTCATTCAGCACTTAGTTCAATTGGGTTCCGTTGTCTGGCTGCTCTTTGTAATTTCAGAATATTTAAAAGTGCCCAAACGAAAGCAATTCGCCAATTGATCACGCAGATCTATTACCAGAGATCCAAAAACGCTGGCTCTACGACTTTTTTTCGTTTGTGTCGCAATAATATTTCGGTTGTTCCCGCGACACGTCCGCCCACTAATTGACACTAATAACACGCACACGGGCAGAGTTTCACGAATTCGCTAGTAGCGCCCCACATCCGAAAAACTAAGCATTTTTCATTTAGTTCTTTTGCTATAGCAGTGGGGAACCGGAGCTGGAGATCTACCGGCGGTTATCGCTTCTGCGTACAGGCAAGACGATTCGGAACAGGAACAGGTGGTGTCGTGACTGCTGGAGCAAGAATGCCTGCAGAAAAAGAATAATTTCTCTATAATAACACAGAATTTAAAAAAAATAGTTGGTAAATTTTTTCCTTTCCGAAGAACTTCGTTTAGTGATTTTTTCTGTTGTTTTTTGCTCGAATTGTCTCTTTTTAATGATCAGCAGCAATCTGCTATCATTGCAACATTTCATGTCCTGAAAACCCTTTATCACATCAGCATATGAAACCCATGCAACTTTTTCAGATTCGGTCATGGTATTCACAAAAAATTCTTCCTTTAATTTTGCATCCATATATTTAATAAGATTATCATGATGAATATTGTTTAATGACGGAGCAATGTTGCTGTCTGTTTCTACTATCCCACTCGCACAAGAAACAGGGTAATTCGTATATCCTGACTGCTCTGACCTAGTAGACGTCCCACAATTTTTAAGTCACCACAAATCATCGAACTATAGTCCTTGTAATTGATTTTCGCAAGCAGCATTGCATTGCGAAAGAGCAACTTTGAGGCTTCTCTTTCTATGAGTCAATGAAAAGCGTCCAGTAATCAGAATCAGAAATATAAGTGTGGTTGCAGAGGAACACTCTATATATTACCAAATTACCAACGGTTTGGGTAATACCAAAAATTTTAATTAACACTACACGAAGAAAAAACAATGACATTAATATCTATACATAATTATAGTTTTATTCCAAATATCTAAATCGAATTCTGTTTCACTATCAGAGTCGTCATATAGTCGTATATATTTATGAAATGGTACAGAATTAAATCCCAAACCTAATATAACCACGCGGGTGTTTTTTTAATTGCAAAAAACATTTTTTCATGGTAATTGGTGACCACCCTGTGTAATTTATTGTCGCAGTAGACAGGTCGAAGCATTAAATATGAAGTTAATTTTTCTCAAAAACTACTCAAAATTTCGTTTGCTTTGTAATGACAAAAATACTCAAAATCAGGCGGATAATAAGAATTTTTAAAAATATTCATAGCAGTTCATTAAAAAAAGAAGTTGGTTACTGTATTGTTACAACCGAACACCCTGTATACATAAAAATAGTATAAATAAAATATATGCATAGGTTCAAATACTTTTTTTCCTAAGTGTATAAGAACATTCTAAATAGACCACCCTGTATATCCATTACATGTAAAATGGTTAGAAAACACGCTGTGCTAGGACACCAATAATAGCTTACATGAAAAATGTACCACGACTCGCTACATAAATTGGAAATTGGAATTATGTTACCTGTCCATTTCGCAATCAGCGTCGGCAGCTACGTCGTCCCAGTTGCCGGCGTGCTGGTTAAACCAAACCTTAGTATCACAGTGCTGAGGATGGACCGACGATGAGGAACAGTGGCCTCCGCCCCTGCTGTGGCCGCCCCCCGACCTTTGACCTGAACTGCTGCCACTAGCCAGCGAGCAATTATTACAGGAACGCGTTCTCGGGAATTGTAATCCCTGAAATTGTAATTTTCTACGTCCACATCCAACTTGAAAGTCTTTGTAACAATTATCAGGTTATTGACGCAAATAACATTATTAGCTGGTGTCATACCAACGTGCAGTGCCTCAGCAAGGTCGAATGTGTGCTTAAGAGAATATAATAAATTATTTACATCTGAATTTTGTGTAGCTTTGATTTTTACGAGTTTCTAGATAATTTGGAGGTAGTTTTGTGCGAGGCACTAGGAAGGCAACACTGTTCCATCTAACCAGAGAAAAGAGATAGAGAAAACAAAGGCCCATAAATCCCATTTTATAAGTTATAACTCATATTCAACGATCTTTTCCTTAAATCCAATATTAAGGTTATGTACGTCACAACGATAGCCTACTTTATTAAAGAGGTATGGATGAAGTTTTCTACGTAGTATTTTGCATAATTATAATCTTATATCTAGCTTGGAGATTAGTGCTGCTGATCTGACCACAAATGATAATCTGTGGCAATACAGGAGCTAGAGCCCCAGACGTATGGAGAAGACGGTATACCAAGATGGTTTTGATAAAACTTGCTTGAATCAGAATGGTAACAGTTCAACTTTCAAAATATTGACACTAAAGTAGCACGGTTAGTACTTTGAATAGCTTTTCTCTAAAAAAGGGTGACACTGGTGAGCTACATGTTCATTAGTTTTCCGCCGAACTAAAAACAAAAAGAAGACTCACTCACTTTAAAAATAATATGCGATGTAGAAGAAGACCCAGATAGACAATGTCTTGTTGAAAAGTTGATAATTTTCTATAAAATTAAAAAAAAAACAGTCCCAGAAGAAGTATTTTCTGTAACAATGAAGTATTTTTAAAGTCTCTAAAGTAACATCAACATTGAAAAACAACCTCCCAAAATCTCTGGACTGCTTCTGTTTCTGTTAAAGTCCTATTTATCTGAAAGACAACAATTTGTGGCCATAAATAATATTAATCTGGCTTGTGTTAAATTTGGAGTGCCACAGGGCTCCTTTTTGGGACCCCTCCTTTTTATTATACACGTAAATGATTCTTGTCTATACATGATGGCGGATACCGAAATTGTGGACAATATTCATTTAAAACTAATACTAACGGAAACCGATGTAGCTATTAAAAAAAATAAAACTAACCAAAACTGACAATCACAGGGCATAAATCTGTGTCCGCTGATAAGAAACTTTATCTGCTTTCAATCGGAAAAGCCTTGAGCTAACAAGAATATCAGAATAAACAAAATATATTTGTTTTTATTTTGACCACTATCCACCAAATCCACTATTTAGACACCAAAGCAAAGAGGAAGAAATCCCATTTGTAAAATCAATCAGAATGCATCTGCATTACCTGCAAAAATTCATCAAAAAATATATTTAGGATGCCAAAGAAGGCACTATTATTCAATAGAAACTGAACATTTAATGAACACTCTAAGCGCAGAATAATTACGGCTCCACCTACATTTTTTTCTAAACTCTTGTTGAGTAAGTGATTAGTAAGTGATTTTTGTTTGGAAGAAAGCATCGACCATGAGTTGGTTTGGAGCACGTTGAACAGTGTGTGTGATTTAATGTTTGTTTTGTGCTATATGAATCTATCCTATCTATCTATCCGTCGCTGTTTAAGATTTCGAGAGTAGTTCCAATCCATAAGGCAGGTGATATAAATGATGCTAACAACTACAGGCCGATTTCAATCGTGCCTTTGTTCGGAAAAGTTTTTGAGATATTACAAAAAGATCAGCTAACTTCTTATATTAATAAGATCGAATGTCTTTGTGCTGGTCAGTTTGGATTTAGGGGAGGGTGTTCGACGATCCAAGCAGTGTCTAAAGTTGTGAGTGGGATGGTTGAGGTGAATTAGTTGGTTTGACCTTGAGTGATCTCTCCAGGGCCTTCGACTGTGTTTCTCACCAGCTTCTTATTAAAAAGCTATACAGATATGGTATACGAGGTCTTGCAGGTCTTGCAGGGCCGACAGCAGTTTGTAGAATACCAGGATAACCGTTCATCACTTGAATCAGTAGTAAGCGGGGTGCCCCAGGGTTCCGTCCTGGGCCCGCTACTATTTACAATCTACATAAATGACCTTTATCATTTCTTGGCCCCCAATCAGTGCGTGATGTTTGCCGACGATACATCCTTCACTACATCTGCTAAGAGTATCGAGGAGTTGTCCGTTAGGGTTGGCATGTTGGAGGACAGGGCTAATGTCTGGTTCGAAAATAATTATTTTAAATTAAATTTAGACAAGACCCAGAGTATTGTGTTTTCCTCCAATTGCTTGGTAAATGGTGGACAGTCCGTCAAGTTGCTTGGCCTTAGGATCGATGATAGTCTAAATTGGAAACAACATATCTCAGACCTGAAAAATAGATTGTCCAGCAACATATTCGTTCTTCGACGACTGAGAAGCCTGATAGGAACAAGGACTCTGCTTATGGTCTATTTTTCTTTGTTGCATTCACACTTATGCTATGGCACGGTACTGTGGGGTGATTCCTCAGCTGCTGTGGAGATTTTTAGAATGCAGAAATATAGGGACCATTGTCAATCTTATTTTAAAAAATTCAAAGTGATGCCCCTTCCTTGCATCTATATCTACTACCAGTTATTAGAGATACAGAGAACGAAAGGAAACTTTAGCGCTAATTCCGATTGCCATGCCTATTCAACTCGTTCGGGGGATCTCCTTAGACGGCCTAGGTTTAGACTGAGGAAGTTTGAGAACAACTCATTGAACCTGAAATTGTAAAATGTTTTGCCAGGTACCGTGAAAAAGATGAGCAATAGAAAATTTAAACATATTATTAAAGAATTCCTGCAACGTCATTTCTTTTACTCCCTGCGAGCATACATTGACACGGTCACTGGTATCGATGCGCTATAAAACTGTATAGTACTGTCTAATTTTGTTTGTATTAGATGTGTGTTTTTATGTTATTTATTAATTTGCTTTTATTGCACTTGAATATCACTTCTGACTTGCTACAATTGTACATCCCTTTTGTACGAAACATAGTCAATAAATGAATCTATCTATGTATCTATCTATCTATACATATAAATCTAACTTTTTTCCTGTATGACTACAATGTTATTGTATACTAGTCAGTCATCTATCGGTCTAACCTCTTACCTTGGTGCACTGGTTCGGCAAGTGCACAGCGTAACAAGCGTAGTTGCTGCTGCAATTGCTGCCGCCGCCTCTGGGAGGCGGGCACGGGGGCGTTTCGCGGGGACAGTCCGGCGGCGGATGGTCCGGAGGCGGCGGTATGATTTCCGACCAACTCGGCGGAGGAAGCAGCATTGTCGTAGCGTATGGTGTTGGACTGTCCAACGTTTTCTTGCAGTTATAGAATGTAGATAGATTTTTTGTGTCCACTTCTGCGTAATCGGCGGGTTGTGCGAGCGGAATGGAAGAATCCTTGTCGCAGTCGGTGGACTTCCAGCTGGCATAAAATACAGGACCATTGAGTTGAAGTAAGCGAGAAGTACAGGGTGATTCAACGATAGTGTAAAAGTCATTATCTCATTGGTTTCAAAAATGAGAAAATACTTGCAAAAAAATGAAGATAGTGCTCTTATTGTGAAGGTAAATCACTCATATTTGATACCGTGACGATATTACGATGTCATTTGGATCGGATCAGTGCGCAACAATAGGAATCAAGAAAGGAAAACTTGAACCATCAGGGGAAGGAGAAGAATCTTTCGAAGGCGTCGCAGACCTAGAACCCGGTTCTGCCCAACTTAAGCAGCAGTTCACTGAAAAATACAATAAAAGTGTCGAACACCAAACTAATCGGTAAAAAAGTCATCGAAGGCTTAGATAGAATAACTTGCCATCGCGGTTTTCTATCCCTAGAAAAGAAAGTGGCCTTCTAAGTATAAACAAAATTTGCAGAAACCAGGCCTCTAAAATTAGTGCGAAATTACTAGGATCCACAGTCTAGTCTATAAGAAAAGCTGATAAAAACTTCACACCACTCAACTTAGGTATCCCAATAGCAACCGATACAACATCGACACTACATCAGGAAATACAAACTTAGAAGAAAAAGGCACTTCATGGTAAATACCCTCAAACACAAATTCATCGACGAAACAGCGTCACTACAGTGGCTTCATAAGGGCTATTTTTATGGACAAAAATCTATGCAATTAAATTATTAGCTGTAAACCAAAATTTGTCAAAAATAGAGTCAATTGGTTTAAACAGTGTTATAGTCCACATCGAGAACTACAATTTTTGTATTTACGGTTTTCTTGTATCACACACGCTGCTCGAGATATTTGAAAAAATCCATGTGAAAATCGCGCTCAATTTAGACGCGATGACGTCACTTACTATTAAGAAGTACGGTGTGCGGTCTTGTTTCAAATAAATATTGGTATTGGAAAACTTCATCTACCAGGAAATGTGGGAGATCCAGGGCTTTTTATCTCTAATTCTGTTCGATTATGTACAGGGTGTATCGGTTATGATCCAAAAACTAAAAGACCCTGAAAATTGCCGTTTTCATGGGTATATTAGAAGCAAATGAGAAACTGTAAAAGATAGGAAAATTTGGTTTAAAAGGTATTATGAACTGTGCCAAGAGCTACAATTTTCGTATTTACAGCTTTCGTTTACTATACAGGGTGCGGGGGATATTTGGAAAAACAGAATAAATAAAATCATAAATCATCAAAAAATGTCGATATTTTCAAAAAGTAGTTTCGGTTTCAGATTTCTTATCCTTAGAAACCGCTTTAGGCAAAATTTTGCAAGCTTTTGGGATATTACCTCGAAATCCCATTTTGGTCTGAAATACCAGCTCAAAAATCGATGGTATGTTAATAGTTTGTGTTTGTGTGTAATACCTAGTATTCAGTTTATGAGTAATCTACACGCCATTGTTGTAATGAATCCATTACACAGGCGATTTTGGGATTTGGTATTTCTGGAATTTAGAAATTTTTGAATTAATATTTAAGACGTCATATTTATTATTTTAAAAATAGGAACATTACATAACATTCTCAAAATTGTTACGCCAGTCGCACATACATTTTGCATGAATTCACATCTTCTTCCTTCTGAACTTACTGCTTGGGAAAATCAAATGCGAGGGTCATAGTTCTATGATTTGTGGTGACTTAAAAATTGTGTTACTTTTATTAGGCCAGCATATACGAAGTACCCAAGTTTTTTGTGTGAGTTTCACAGCGGAAATAGACAGCCGTTGAATATTAAATTAGGACTGAGCAGTATATTAAAACTTTTAATAAAAATGGAGCATGTTTTAACTACGTATGTGGAAAATTGAAAACTGATACCATAAATGGTTTTCTAGGAAACAACAAATATCCAAATTACAAAGACAGAGACATTTAGGGCAACGGGATTCAATATGAGTATAAAACTACAGTTTTTACACTCGCGTCTGGACTTCTTTCCCGAAAATCTTGGTCGTTAAAAAAGGACAATCTTGCAATGGAATATACAAGAAAATCCAGGATGCGAAGTTTTTCGGCCATGAGGCAGAGATCTTCCCAAAATAAATGGACTTAACTATGCTTTGAGACTTTGCTAATCAATTTAGATTTTTCAATTCAGATTTAATGTTTTAATCACGCGAGATTTTCATTTATTAATTCTTTTGATGCTGACAACAAGACCTTGCGTGATATCAGGAAAATGCTTATCAGATTTAAAGTTAGGAGGCCTAAATTGTATAGAATCAAATGTCATATCGAAATCAACTTTCAAAAGTTTAAAAATTGTTGTTATTATCAGACAGATCGTAAGCAATGCTTTTATCGTCGCAAAAGCAAAATTTGATTTTTTCTTCTGGTGTGCCATATAGCGACTAGAGATATTGAGGCTATGCCGATAATACAGGAACTTACGAGGCAACTATGAAAAAAAAAATTGAGAAGGTCCATTCAACATGCGCATGCGCGAGCTCGAGAGTGACGTTTTTATCATTGAGTGCGGTATTGAGCAACCCATATGTCCGCTGACAGATCGCCAATAAGATGCGGCATTTTAATGGTAGCATTTTCCCAAAATATACCAAGACGTGTTTAAACGAGTTAAGTGTGTGGAAATCGCAAAAGTTTATGCGGTCCAATTAAAATAAAAATTTTGACAGTTGAGCTATTGCTATAACAATATGGGGCTTTGACAAAATACATGTCGTTATTGACAGTTGAACTTTAGTTAGACAATAATGGTCATTTGTTAGAATTTCTTTTGCAATTATTACTATTAACACCAATATGTATTGATTATTGAATTACATTTCGTAAATTAGAAGGTGGTTCCAAGTTATCCCAATGTAATTAGTAAGTAAAGAAATTTAGTTTTTTTTTTTAATAAACTTCCACAACCCGTGGAGTATCTCGAAAATAAATGAACAAATTCTTTTTGTTTTCTATGTCGTCATATAACAGACAAAAATAGAAAATATTTTCTTGAATTTCTCAGAAATGATCTACGCTGGCATCACTTTGCCGGCAGATTTAAGTTAAGTTTAATATACATTTTTCAAAAAATGTATATTAATGCTATCCTATCCTCACATTGGACACACTGTATAAGTTCGAATAATATTGATAACAGAGACCTTAATTCTCCGTCCGAGCCTACCACTAATCGGATCAGAATCTCGTACGACTCTAGCCATTGGTTCATTGGTTTTCCAATGATGGAAAAACTTACCCTCTATCTATCCACAAACTTTCCTTGGCATTGAGTTGGGAGGCGTTCACGACAGGCACGTTAAGGTGCCCCAGCTGCTTGGCCATCGACTGTCTCTTTTTTATGTAGAGAAGGCCGCCGGTTCCGCTCAAAAGGGCAACCACCAAAACCGCGAGAACCACTACGAACCAAGTCTGCCGAACCAGGGGAACTAAGGGTCCCAACGCTCGAGGACTCTGCGTTCTTGGTGCCGTGAGTAACGGAATGGGATTCGAGTACGGTCCTAAACGCATATGGTCAAAAAGGAACTAGTCAAATCGGAAAAGGACATACCTTGGCCGGCAATCGTCAGTGCTGCCACCTTAGCGTTGTATAACCCGCCCGTGGTGAGATTGCTAATCAAAATAGAGGTGGTGCTGGCGTTGAGGGTCATCGTCCTGATCAGATTCCCCTTGATCTGTACCTTGTAGCCGATTATTACGCCGTTGCAGTGCTGGGGCGGGGGTGGCGACCATCTTACCCAGCCGGCGGTATCGTTGAATACGCCTAAACGATGAGGAATGGGTATTTGATACATCAAAGGAGGTAACCTCACCTGCGCTAATGGAGTCTGGGGGGGCGGAAGGCACGTCTTCCAAGGTCTGAGCTATCCGGGAGTTGGACGGCTGCCCTTCGACCGATTTGTAAAACGGCGAAATGAAGAACTCGTATTTGGTGAATTTCTTTAAATTTGTCACGGTATAGAAGGTGGTGTCGATGTTAAGCACCGTCAGAATGTTGTAGTTATGGGAACCTCCGGAAAGTTCCCTAAATCTGTAATAGAGGGATAAATATTTATTACTACATTAAATGAGCCGTTTATTTTGAAAGTGGCTTATGACGTTTATAATTTATGCTGAACTGTCAAAAAAATCGGCAATGAAATATACTTAGTACATTTGACAATTTTATATCACGTACATTTTCAAAATAATAAAAATACTGAAAGTCTTAATTTTGAAAGTGACTTAAGTCCACTTTTTTATTGACAATGTCAACAAAGGTACTTAGATTCAAAAAATTCGTAAGATTAAACGGAATTCAGGGAAAAGATACGATACACAATCGGGAAAAATTATTCCTGCCAAAGTTTTTCAAAATGAAGATTGCCAATGCCGAAGAGACTGCTTGAGAGCGTATTTTCGGAATGTTTTGGAACTTAGGAGACTTTAGTAAGCAAAATACAGTGCTGTACGAAGCGACCGGAGGCAGTGTTGTAAAAAGAAGACGTCAGAGAAACGGAAAAAGTTCATGTAGGAATGAGAGTTTGCGTAAAAAATTCTTTTTAGATACTTTTCAAATAAGCGAAGAACGATTGAAACGTGTAAAATCTAAAAACGTTGGCAACGATTTACGTGGGCGTTTGCCTGGATCGTCGAGAAAAATATGTGATGAAGCAAGCAAAAGCAAGACCATATTAACAGTTTCCCGAAATTTGAATCCCAATATACTAGGGACCATAATTCCGACAGAAAATATCTTCATTCTGAACTGGCTATAAAAAAAAATTATGAGCTTCACTGTGAAGAAAATAATTCAAAAGCAGTTAATAAAATGGACTTATAGAAATATATTCAAAAAGGATTTTAATCTACATTTAAATCAACCAGGCAAAGACACATGTTAAAGATGTGAACTTTAGAGTCAAATCATCAGAAAACCATGAAGAACGGGAAAAACTTGAAGCAAGCAGAATCGGCTAGAAATGCGTTAAAACAAGATCAAGAGCGAGTATCAATTAACCTCGCTCATTGAACAATATGAAAGATGGGGACGGAATGACCGCCGAGAATATATATATATATATATATATATATATATATATATATATATATATATATATATATATATATATATATATATATATATATATATATATATATATATATATATATATATATATATATATATATATATATATATATATATATATATATATATATATATATATATATATATATATATATTCTCGGCGGTCATTCCGTCCCCATCTTTCATATTGTTCAATGAGCGAGGTTAATTGATACTCGCTCTTGATCTTGTTTTAACGCATTTCTAGCCGATTCTGCTTGCTTCAAGTTGCGTCTGGTCTGGCTGGCTCCAAGTGGAGGTAGTCTTCTGCTGACAACGTTCGGGCAAGATCTCACTTGCCATTTTCAAGTCGGGTCGTTCTGCTTCTCGTCTGAACTCGGCTTGAACTGCTGCTGTTGAGACGAGAAGCAGAATATATGTTTTGTTTTAGTCGTTCACGGATGGAACTATGTGTATTGGCGTTAATCCGGGTGTTCATCCGTTCGTTGTTTGACCCTGGAGTAGGATCATTCGCCTGACGTTTCGCCAAAATATCACTTGGCATCTTCAGAGGCCGCGCGCCCATGTCACTCGTACGTGTCCGCACTTAAACTCGTTTAAGTCAACTATATATCTTACGTATATCTTAAGTGTTTCAAATTAAAGATAAATGGACTTAAGTCACTTTCAAAATGAACGTCCCAAATGGAGGAGGTACCTGATGTAGAAACCTTCCACGTAGTCGACTGAAGTTAGTAGCCATACGAGCCTGACTGAGCTCGATGACTGAGCCCTGGCGTCTTGGAGCTCGATGAGCTTCGTGCTCAGGGCTGCTCGGGCAGTGTCCAGCTCGGATCCCGGCAGAGATCGCGAATTGGCTAAAGTTCTCGCAGTCTTCGACACCGGACTCGCTGGCGATAATCCGTGCGCATTTTCAGCCCGGACTAAAACAGGCAGTTGTTAATGGACACCATCGGAGGCTCGATTAAGCCTGACCTATAAAAACGTAGGAACTGTCGGGCTTCAGCTCCCTGACTATCATGTAAGGGGTCTGGACACGGTGCGCTGCAATTACCCAACCCGTTTGCAGGTCCGGACTCCAATATTCGACGGTGTACCCGACTAAGGTGGTGTCCGATTCGTCCGCGTCCCAAGAGAGGCTGATGCTTGACTCTGTAGCGTTGAGGATCCTCGGTGCCGAAGGTGCCTACGATAATTGGATAACGATTTCTAAATGGAATTAAAAATGACTTTTTTCCGTTCGTTCCGCAATGATTTACTTCAAAACACGCAGTCAGTTTTTTTTTCAAGGGGGAGAGTTCTCTAATTTGGACCGGACTGGCCTACAAATTTTATTTTTCCAGAAAACATATGATTTATAATTACTTTTTTAATATTGGGTTTTCTTTTTGGTAATACATATAATTGGTATTTTATTCTGCTATATTTACATTTGCTTGAAATTGAAGAGAAAAGAAAAATTGAGAGGTGGTCCAAATTGGGCTTCTTTACCCTAATACCATTTAAAAAACTTCTGGGTTACTTTTTCTAAAAATGCTTACCATTTTTTAATACTTATCGGGTGTTAAGTTTTGAAAACAACTCACTTATCTACTGACGTGTGAGGTCATCATCACACGTCAAACCACCATCAAAACACGCGATTGATCCTAAACCCGTAGATAAACTACCGGAAATTATTTATTTGTAACAAAAGAACATCGAAAGAGTCATTAAATTTAGTTAAAGTTACATTTGAACTAATCAAAGCTTTAGGACGACAGTTGTACGAACCCTATATCGAGTGATCATTTATAATGTCCCCCGATTTAACTTTTTGATTTAACGTTTGAAAAAAAAAAGGTTAAATACATACTAAATACTAGAACTTATATCTGAGGTGGCTATGAAGTAGGTCGTCACCAAAAAGCAGATTTTATTCTGAAAGAGCTTAGTCAGAAAGAAGAGAACATTGGAAAGAGATGAAGATAGTGATCGTTAAGTGACGTTTTTTGATTTTTTTCATCGTTTCGATGAACGTTTTTTGTCTGAAACGTGCAATCGTACAGTTTGAGCCTGGCTATCCATCTTATGTAGTTTAATAAACGCTTCCAAAATTCATTGTTTGGCTCTTTGCGAATAATAATAAAGACGCATACTTTTGCTAAATCTTATACATTTTGTTTTCTGGTGACGATCTACTCCACAGCCACCTAAGATGTAAATTCAGAATATTATTTTTGAACATTGCTTTTATGTTAAAAGCGCCTATATCTCAAAAACTGTTACATTTCAGTATAGGTAAAGTGACTAGATTTTTAGATAGGCAATTCTGAAGGTGGTTATCAAAAAAAAAAAGTATAATGTTTAATTCCTTGGCATATTTTTTATTTGAGTGAATTTGATTCAGTAGACTGTTGTCATTTTTTAAAATATTGTAAAAATCTTCACAAGAACTTGTCAAATTATATTCGACACTAACAACGGCTCTTAAATCACAATTTTTAATACGTTTTATATTTAATACATTTAATTCATTTGTTTTTCACTGTGATTTTATCTGATGTCCAATATTTAAGTTTTTCCTTATCAGTATATCTTTTTACTAATGACACTTCATTAAAGAGACATATTACTATTGGGGAATTTTCGAGAAATATAATCAAATGATTTTTGCACATCCTTCCAATTAAATTCTAGTTTTAATGTAAGGAAAGTGTATCATCTGTCGTAGGCCGTAGGATTCTTAGAACGCAAAACAATGATTTTCATAAATATAAAATTTAACTTAATTCTAAAGAGTTTAATATACAGAGTGTTCCATTACAAATGTATAACTGTGGGTGATTTCTTCAACACGCTGTACATATAACAATATATATTGCAAATTTTGAACAACTTTTCAATTTATCGATTTCGTCCCCAAAAATTAAATACAAAAGGGTCACCCGGTATACAACTTCAGGAATTTTAGCGTATAATATATAGAGTGTTCCATTAAAAATATATAACTGAGGGTTATTTCTTCGACACCCTGCACATATAAATATATATGCTGCAAATAATTTTTGCACAACTTTTCTATTGAACTTTTTTTTCCCCAAAAGTTAAATAAAAATGTAAAGTGTCACCCGGTATACAAGTTCGACACTCTTGAAATCGAAGCTCATACACGATTTTGTTCAAAAAACATTGAATTCTCAAGTTTCAAAGCCCTGCTACAAAAACTGACTCACCAGCACTATACCTTGGAATGATTTAGACAGTTGGATTCGTTTTTGAATAAAAATGTTATTTACTTTCTCAGTTATGTCATTTATGGACAAATTTGGGTAGCGAACTTTCCTCTTGCATATAACGGACTGAACGTGGCAAATAATTAGAAACCTGTTTGCAGATAACACACCATTTTGAAATTTTTAAATTCCACTCAGTAATTTATGCAAAATTAGACTCATTGGTTTTTAGCAGCCATGGATTTCCCCGTGGTCATAGCCAAAAAATTAATTACTGTGAATGTAAATCTAAAAATAATATCGCACGAGTCTCTTCAAAATCATGCAATGCAACTTTATTCAAAAACGACTTAATACACGTTTTGTGAAGTCAGTGAAAGTCTCCTTAAAAATTTACGGGCTTTAAGCGGTGACCGATACACTAGCGCCATCTATTTGCCTCATCACTAAACATGATTCAAAACAATTGGGATACTCTATTTTAATCGGAAAGAACGATGGGGCCCCATTCAGTACAAATAGATATTTTTGAGTATACCCCCCCACATGTTTATGTTTTCTAGCAGCATTTGCAAAAGCACCAGCATTTTTGACCTCACCTTAGGAAATGTTGATGGGTCGGGACTGCGATGCAATGGTACTGTCGATCCTTCGACCACGTTCAATGATGCAGACCACGAGCTTTCACCACTTTCCGAAGTCGCTGAACAAGTGTAGAGACCGGAATCTTCAAGTTGTAAATCTTAAACCCAAAAGCTAATATATAAGGCTCCATTTATTTCATCAAGTTTTTATTAATATGATTGATTTTTAATTCTTTCAATTCAACAATAGAACATTTTTTTAAAATTCAAACAGCACTTCCTATGGGAGTATAGGAGATGATGAGATAGTCACTACTCCATACATTCAAAATTAAAAGAAAAACTAACCAAAGCTACATTTTAAAATTTCAAAAAGCTATCGCAAAGCAAAATTATTCGTAATTGCTGATGATATTAGCTCTTTAATAAAACATGTTGCTGACCTTTTCCTGGATCTTCTTCTAGAAGGAAAATTCCCACCCACATACAAAAAGAGCTACAAAAATAGAATGACTAACTACTTAGGTATATCAGTTCTATCTGCTTCTTCTAACATTCTTGAAGTGATGTCCATAGAAAATTTTGAGATTAAGAACGGATTCCAAACGGAAGGAGTTCCGGTATCCAGTGCCACTCCAAGGCCGTTTAAAAATTAAATTCCAAAAATTTTCAACTCGTTCTTGCAGTATACATTCTTTGAATGTTTGAGACCGCTCTTCTTTTGCTCCTTTGCTCCGCTCCGTTTTGTTAAACACAATAGAAAATCTGGGTCACAAGGAATTATTGTTTTAACTGGATACGAGGGCTACCTTTTATATTTCGGGATTTGCAATAAAAAACTGTAATCTACAAACAAATATAACTTTATTGTTTCTCAAAATATTCACCCTAATTCGCTTTTTCTGGTGTCAAAAATCGTTGCCCACGTAATTTATTCTTAATGTACGGGAATAAAAAGAAATCATTAGGTGCCAAATCAGGACTATATGGCGGATGGCTCATCAAATCAACGTTTTTAATGTTCAAAAAGTTGTTTGCACTGATCGGTGACAGTTAGCATTGTTGTCGGGGTTTTTTTAATTTCTTCGAAGACTTTCTGCAAACAAATGGTTGTGTACAATTCAGAATTGACTGTTTTCCTGAAAAAACAGGCTACCATTTGTTTCGAGGTGCTTTGCTCACGAACAACTTTTGTGCGCTTTATCTCATTCTGAAAGACTGCTGCTTACTTTCAGGTTCACATGCATAGATCCATGATTCAGCACCGCGATCGTGTTTTTTTAGCATTTCCTTCGACCGATCAACACAAGTCTTTTTTTGAGCTGATGTCAAATTGTGTAGAATTCAATGCAAGAATTTTTTTTAGCTGTCAAATTTTCATGCAAAATTGTATGTATGCTGGTCCCACTAATTCCCAAAGACACCTCAGTCTCATGGTAAGTCACATGACGATCGTGCAAAGTCAGCTTCCGAAGTGCATCAATGTTTTATTGGACAACCATAGATTTTGGACGACCTTCACGAAATTCATCCTTAAGAAAACTACGACCACGACTGAAGTGGTCCTACATGGTGCTTTAACTCCAAAAGTCGAATTAAGTTCATCGATGCGTTGTTGTTGAGTTAGCCACGTCTAAAGTTGTAAAAAATTATTGCACGCACGTCGAAATATTTTTAATTTATCACAAAAACCACAAACACTCTTTCGCCAAAACCTAACTGAGTAAACCTAACCTTAAAATTCCAAACTTCCTTTTAAAAACGTTAGTCGCCAGATGGCAGGACTAGTTTAAAAAAATCCCGAAATATTAATTAATTAATCATGTTAAGAACACTTCTTCTTCTTAAGGTGCCTAGCCATCAGTTGGTGTTGCCAAAGGCAAACTCTTGTCGGTTTTGGACGGTTCTAAATATCGAGTGAGCGTCCGGATTTGTCCAGTCTCTGATGTTTTCCAGCCAAGATTATATTTTTCGACTGATGTCGCGATTTTATGCTATCTTTCTTTCTATTAATAACTTCTCTGCTTCGCTTTATTATGCTTTGCTTTGATTTTATGTGACGTTCAGGATATTTTTAATAATCATCTGAAAACTCAAATTTCAAATGCTTCTAGTTTTTGAAGCATTCTGGCTTTAAGGATCTACGTTTCGCCGCTATATATCAATACGGAATAATCCTCTTATAAAGCGCTATCGCAGTTTTAAATTGAGGCCCTGGTTACTCATTATTTTTTTTCATGTTGAATAATGTTTTCCTAGCTTGTTCAATTCTGTTGATTATTTCCATATCAACACTCAAGTCTGCAGTTATTCAGCAGCCAAGGTACTTAAACTTTGTAACTTATTCAATAGGTCTATCATACATGAGTATTAGGGTGGATAAAAAAAAACGAGATTTTTTTTTTTGGATCTAACCCACACAAACTAGCTGCTAGTAACTTCTAGCAAGTACTTACCACGTCATTACAGTTTTGCATTTTCGATTTAGTATCATATCTTATCACCAATAGATTAAGCCAATTTCATTAATAATTGATATAGGTCTCTAGGTTTGTCGATTACTCGAACCATATTGAAGATATTTGCATTGGAATCCCAATGGGAACACAGTACACAGTTTTTAATAAATATTTACGTCCTCCCCAAAATCCCATATTTATACTGACGTTTCCTCCAATTATGATCTATATAATAAATCTTATAGTCTATTTTTTGATCTAAGAGCCTTTGTTTGAATAGTCCACCATTTTTAGCATATCCATAACAAATTCATGCCAACTGTAAGCCGTGAGTTGGATCATATCTCGCTGCTACTGTTGTAAGATGCGTCTTCTACATTATAATTTTTAGTCGCGCCATCTATGGGGTTTAGGCGATGTTAGTTAACTCACAGATGGACTCACGGATTGTTGTTGTCCGTGGCGATAAAATGTCAGCATTCGACGATTCTCTCTTGACAACAGTCTTCCTCTAAAAGAAAATACCTTTCGTTGAGTTGCAAACTTGGGGAAAATATCTAACGTTAAATATTTTTTTGTGTTTGTCTTAAATTTGTTACAGCTTCTAGAACTATTGTTCCCTGTTTATTATTCTACTTCTTCTGTGATTTGTTATGATAAGATGTTTTAATTGCTTTTATATGATGACAAAGTGTTTATTTTTATCATTCTTAACTGATTTCGTTCAAATAACCGTTGTTTCTGATGTCACATTGGTACAGTCTGCTGCTATGAATAGGCAACCGTATATACGCCGGTCTGTGGTGATTCATTCCTGGGACAGTTAAACCTCCGTGGCTTATGTTTTTTGACAATTTGTGGTTCTGGTTTAACTTTGGTCGAACAGAAGAATTTAAAAAATGGGGCTAGGGAGTATAAACAATTAAATCTAGCAAGCGAGTTAACTGTGATCCCAAATTGGTAAATCGGTTTAACATTTTGATATTTAAAAACCTGTGTTCGTGCCTACCGACACGCCGCAGGTTCGAAGGCGAGAAAAACCCAGTCCTCGGGTATGCTCGGAGTATAATCATAACGCAAGTGACTTTCACATTTTATGCAACGGGATTTTTTAGACCGGCACTTTAATGAACGTCTTCGATTAGAATTACGGCGGACGTTGCAGAAGTTTCGTTTTGTTCGTAACGCGCGTGTCATTAGGGAACAACAAAGGCGAATTTGTTCCTATATAACGAATTTTCCAGTTGGCTGCGAAACGTACCTAATTAGTACGACAGGCATAGAATACGACACGTAGTTCTTTATTCGCTTCAAAACGCACAATCATTGTCTTAGACCTTTTCAAATGAAATATGTAAAATTTACTCCTCCGCGATGTAAATTGACGTTGAAGGTATCACCAAGGATGACGTCACGTGTTGCCGATGATCTTCATCGATTGCTCTGTTTGTTCCTTTCCACTTTCGTTCTGTGGTATGTAATGCAAAACTTCCTGCCCATCTCTCATCCTTCGTTCTCTAACACGTTCAACATGCTTGATGTTCTGCGGGTTCTTTTAAGGAGGCTAATTGCCGCTGTATCTATGCTTTTTCTATCGTTCTTGATCAGTTGCCTGCACTCTACATTGTAATTGTATTGAACTTACCGTCTATGATCAATATTCCATCGGGGTTCAGCGTAAGTCGACCAGGCAGGTTGTCTTTTGTCAGGTGTTTGCCGTCCTTCAACCATCTGGTGATCGGCGGGTTTCCTTCGGGACTAGAGGCTTTGCAATGTAACGTGACGTCACTGTGAAACGGGAGGGTTTGGTTCGCCGGTCCGATCTGGATGATCGGCGGGGGTTGATCGGCCACGGATGTAACCTGAAAAGAGTTCAGTAAACTTAATTACCAGGCTGACTCATTTTCTGGATTAGTGTCCAGACAGTTTAAAGAGTTACAATCAAGCAATCAATCTTTGAATGGCAATCCAATCCAAAGAACAAAGATTATAGGAGATTATGTTGTTTACTGGCTTGCTGTTAAACCAATAATTCTCTTAAACATGAAAACAAAAGTTACCGATAAATTTCTGGTTTGTTAGCAAATTCCGTAAATGGTTAGTTATGTTATGTTATTCATTTGTGTAAAAGAAGAACAAAGAAAAAGGAAACATATATCTTCAGTAAAAATCATAAATCATAAATGAGTTTTATCCTCTTAAACAAATGAACACCAAGCGTTAGATTTAGTCTCGTTCCTTGATGTCGTGGATTGTGGACCGTGAACGTTTATTCGAGGACCATCAAATTTGTCTTTTTTTTTTCTTGCTACTCCCAGGAAATTTATGTGACCCAAAACAATTTCCATCTGCTTCATCAGTCCCAGCTTGATATGCAAGCCGGAAGTAACATTTCTTCTCTCGAAACTAAAGGTTCGTCGATCGGGTTTTGTTTTCCTTCAATCGTGACGTTTCTTCAAGGTCAAAAGGCACAAAAAACAAGGGCATTTTGTACAGCCACTCACGCATTGTCCAATGGTGTTCTTAGGCTGGATGGTGTGTACGGACAAAGTTCTCCTACGTATTCTGTAGTGAAAGAATGGGCAAAACGTTTTCGAATGGGGCAGGAGTCCCTTGAAGAACTGGTCGACCAGTGGAGGTCATAACGGAAGATATTGTTGCGATTGTGGAAGAGGTGGTATTGAGTGATCGACGTTTAAAGGTCAAGCAAATCTCAGAAATTACTAAGCTTTCTGATACAAGTGTTCGCCGAATCCACGGAGTGGCGTCGTAAGGGTGAAGCACCCCCAAGAAAATTCAGAGTCTGCCAGTCAACAAAAAAGGTGATGGCCACGATCTTTTTGGATTGTGAAGCAATTCCTTTGATAGATTTTAAAGAAACTAATACCACTATCAATTTTAAATATTACACAACATTATCACATAAATTGCGAGACTGCATACGTGTAAAACGTCGAGGAAAACTGACTAGAGGCGTGCGTCCTTTGCACGATAGTGCACCTGTCCATAGTGCCGGTGTTGCACAAGCTGCCATTTTAGAGTGTGGGTTCCAACAGATCATCCTCCCTATAATCCAGATATGGCCCCCAGCGACTATTATTTGTTTGAATATTTGAAAAAGGACTTACGTGGGCGGCGGCTTAACGACGAAGTTGAGTTAAAAGAGGCCGTTTTAGCTCATTTTGTAGACAAACCAAAAGAATATTGTATAAGTGTATTGAAGTGAAGGGGGATTATATTGAAAAATAATAAAAAATTGTTACTCTACTTTGTTTCTTTCATATTCAGGGCAGTTTCTAAAATTCACCACCTCTTTTTAGTAGATATGGTAAAATGGTTCAAACAAAAATATCCTAGCTACTTTGTTCTAGATCTATAAGAAAAATATTGAAGCGCTCATCGCTCAAGCAAGAGAGCTGACTGTGTTATTGACCACCAGAATATATTGCCTAAGTATGAAACGGGTGAAGAGTTTTAAATCCGGTAATACCATTTTCTAGACAGAACCGTACGCTGAGAAACTTTGGTTTACATGTTATCTCACCAACTTCTTTTAGCACTGAGTTCGAATATCTAAATAGCAATTGAAAACTGGATGAAGACATTTCAAGTAAAATGGCAAGGAAAAAAACTACCTAACGATTACTGACTCTACAGTTTCTGGAATTGGGTTCCTCCCGAAATAAATGAAAGAAGATCGCCAGGAAGCTGGAGAGATGACCTACACAACAATTATTCCCAAACATCGAAAAAAAGCCGTTTGAAAACCTGGCACATATGTTCAAAAAAAGTATGATAAATAACTTCCCATTGTGTAGATGCAGTTTGAGAGTTTACTAGATACTGAAGAAGGCAACAGGATGATGATTTCTTTTAAAGATCCTCAAACATTTCCAAACAATCGTGACGTAACAAAATATGCAGAACACCACGATTTACACAAACACACAAAATAAACGAACTCACGATAAAATTTCGTAAGTAGCATCTGCTGGTTTTTAGGAATCCGGTTCAATTGATCTTCAGCTAGTTTCACGTGACGTTATTGTCTCGTTAACATGTCGAGAACAAACCCTAGAAATAACTCGCAATCTAACGAAATCGACGAGATTATAATTCTCCGCTTAATTGGTCAGATCGTGACTTTGCGGAGTGATTTTCTTTAACCACTTTCGTTTAATGGTTCGTTAGCGTTTAATTGCCTCGATTGCTCTATTTCGTTCGATCCACCCTCTCTGACGATCGGCCAATTCGTTTAGCAAAAGGACAAAGTTTAGATTCCGTACTTAGCGTCATCAAAATGAAGCAATAAATTCGTAAATATTTCTATCATAAGCTTGATCGGTTAGGACTTGGAATGTTTTCTTGGGACGTCTTAAATATCTTCAAATTTTTAGTGGTTTTTGTATTATTTTGTTATTTTGTATGAAAGAGTTATGAAAATAATAAAATTAATTAAATCATAAATTTAATGCCATAAACATAAATAACAGCATTTTATTTTGATTTTAAATATTAGTTGACATCATAAATAATAAATTGGATTTTTATTTGGTAAATTCGAAGTAATAACACATTTTACCAAAATCTAACTTCTTTTTTGAGGATTCAATTATTTTATTCTTATTTTAGGTTGGGATTAAAATATTGAGATGCCATTTTCATTAGTTTGACTTAATGACATAAACAAATTCTTTTTCAAAAGAATTTTTTTTGCTACTGTGTCAGTGGGGGGCAGGGTAAAAGTCCTTTTTAGCGGATACGATTTCGGAGAAATGGACATTTACTACTCTCTGTAACTATGGTTGACATTAGAAAATTAAATATATTTTTTTTTAATTTTTAGAAAAATGTCAGTTTCAGTAATACCGTACCTCGTTGCCTTTTCTGGGACACTCAGTATATGGCGTTTCCTATTCAGAAACGAAAAGTTTATAAAAAAGACCAAAAGAAAGTTAAGCAAACAAGTTCGTTGAAACAAAGAAGCGAAAAAGAAATAGTGCCCAATGATTTAGAATTTCTAATCAAAATTAATTGATCACCTTGGCGAATAATTTTCTCTCAAGTAATTATTAAACTGCGTGATTAATTAATCACAATAAACCTAGAAACTTAGCAATACTTTAGAACTGATATTAATTTCATTTCAATGAAGCATGGCTTTGATCGTATTAAAGGGACCTGTATTTACAAATCTTCTGGATTTCTCTTGTGTCGGTAAATCTGGCTTTGACGTTATATTTCTTAAGAACTTTTGAAATGTAGTCAAATAGGGAAATAGGAGAACAGCGGCAAGTGTGGGGTTGTTTTCGGACTCGTTGTCTTTGGAAGGTTGTGGTGATGTGTATTTTGTGATAGAACCCTTAATGTGAAAACTATCGACAATGGTTGAGATAGTTAACAGTTGATAACCGACGATGAGATATCGGTCTGTGTGCGTAGGTTTTCTGTAAACAGAATGACCCAATGTTAGAGTTTCATTTGATAAGAATATCTTAGAATATTATTAGTTCATTAGTAGGGATTTTCAATTAAGATGAGGTTTGGCTCCACAATTTCAAATTTTAATGTATCTAAAATAATAGGAACAGGAATATCGTGCGGATTTAATGTATAGATCTGCGAGATTTCTGAACGCGATAGCGTCTAAATGTTGTAATTAATTGATTCTTTGCTGAGGGAATTGTGTTAAGAGCAATATTTTCTGTTTGCGGCCCAAAATGTTGATAGCAGTGATGAAGATAATTTAAATTCCGTTTTGATATTAAATTGAAATTTAAAAAATAATATTTAATTTTTCTTCAACAGAGGAAGAGGAAGTAATTGGGAATGAGAATTTACAAAAAGGCACTTTCAAAGAAGGATTCAGACAACACAAAAGTGGTACTTATATTCAGAGAATCCATAAGATTAAACGGAAAAATTATTCCTGCTAAAGTTTTTCAAAATTAAGATTGCCAATGCCGAAAAGGCTGCTTGAAAAATTTAAATAAAACAGAAAGAAAACGCATTTTCGAAAAGTTTTGGAACTTAGGAGACTTTAATAAGCAAAATATATTGCTATACGAAGCGACCGGACGCAATGTTGTAAAAAGGAGAGACACGGAAAAGGTTCATGTAGAAATGAGAGTTTCACATATTGGTTAAATTCTAAAACAAAGTTACTGTTTGTAAAACATTCTTTTTAGACACTTTTCAAAGAAGCGTTGGCATCGATTTACCTGGGCTTTTGCCTGGATCGTCAAGAAAAATATGTGATGAAGCAAATATGATTGAACCATATTAACAGTTTCCCGAAATTTGAATGCCATTATAGTAGGGACCATAATCCGGACAGAAAATATCTTCATCCTGAACTGACTATAAAAAAATGTTTGATTTTTATGATCTTCACTGTGAAGAAAATAATTTAAAAACAGGTAAGAATGAATATAAGTTGATAATATAATATAATATATAAGTTGACAAACCCATATACTCTTATTTCCATATACCCATATTCCTCGCCATCATCAATATTTGTTCTTCTTTAATGAAATGCGGGACTGTCTTTCGTCAGTTCTATGGTGTCACTTCCTCAATGTCCTGATCAAACATTTTGAATATCGAATTGTATCTAACCGAATATAATTTCACTCATATCAAAAAGACGTGTTTGTAAGTTTGCTATATATAATAGTTCCTTCTTTATCAACTTATTCAATATTTTTGTTGGTATTTTTAATTGTCGAATAAATGAAAGTATCAGTTTTCCCTGCAAAGAGTTTTTAGTATACAAGCTACATATTTTGCTAGAGTATATGTTGGAGAACCAGACGTGCTGATAATAGGTCGAAGGGGTAATACTGGTTTGTGAGTCTTA